TGATGGTGTCCCGATCATGTGATGGTGGCGCGGTCATGTTGTGATGGTGTCCCGATCATGTTTTGATTGTGTCCCAGTCATGTTGTGATGGTGTCCCGGTCCTGTTTTGATGGTCATGTTGTGATGGTGTCCCGGTCATGTTTTGATGGTGTCCCGGTCGTGTTGTGACGGTGTCCCGGTCATGTTTTGATGGTGTCCCGGTCCTGTTGTGATGGTGTCCTGGTCATGTTTTGGCGGTGTGCCGGTTATGTTTTGATGGTGTCCGGGTCATGTGACGGTGTCCTGGTCATGTTGTGATGGTGTCCTGGTCATCTTGTGATGGTTTTCCCGTCATGTCATGTTGGTGTCCCGGTCACCTTGTGATGGTGTCCCGGTCATGTTGTGATTGTGTCCCAGTCATGTTGTGACGGTGTCCCAGTCATGTTGTGATGGTGTCTCGCTCATGTTGTGACGGTGTCCCGGTCATGTTTTGATGGTGTCCCGGTCATGTTGTGATGGTGTCCTGGTCATGTTTTGGCGGTGTGCCGGTTATGTTTTGATGGTGTCCCGGTCATGTGACGGTGTCCCGGTCATGTTGTGATGGTGTCCTGGTCATCTTGTGATGGTTTTCCCGTCATGTCATGCTGGTGTCCCGGTCACCTTGTGATGGTGTCCCGGTTATGTTGTGATGGTGTCCCAATCATGTTGTGACGGTGTCTCGGTCATGTTTTGATGGTGCCCTGGTCATTTTGTGATGGTGTCCCGGTTATGTGATGATGGTGTCCAAGTAAGAGATGGTCGATGTGTTGAAAACAGCAGCTGTTTCCAGGTTGTTCTTTTTGTCCCGGTCTGTATCTTGCTATTGGGGTCTCCAGCTGGGCTAATTATATTTATATATATTTATTTTGGACCTCTTTTTTTCAGGGGTAATAATGTCATTGGCCTTTTTCTACATTGCTGGACGGCCCCCCAACCAAAGCTCGAGCTGGTTGCGCCCCATGGCACTTCAGCAGTTGAACGACGGAATAGCCTGCATGTGGCGGTGGAATAGCAGTGCCAATGGACAGCCAATGTAGGTTGTTCTTTTTTCAAGTTTCCCCATGGTTTCAGGCCATGGAAGCGATGGAAGTGGTTCCTCTTAATTCTATATTCACCATTCTCCACCATTCTCCACCTGGGGTTGCTCCGACTTCCTGCTTCACAGTGCCAGTGTCGTTCCGACAGAGGCCGCGGCCGACGAGACGTCGAAGGAGCGACCGCGGTCGGTCGACCGCCCATAGGAAGCCCATGACCGCAAGCCTGGCTCAGCTGAACTTCCTGGATCTGGAGGCCTGTCGCTTCACGCAAGTTCTATTTTTGTGGGGGGTGGAAACATATGTGTGTATAAGCATTTTTTTACGTAAGATTTAATATGGCTGCAGGAATTCTAGGAGTATGTATTTGTGCTGCACTTGAAATTGAAATCTTTGCTTGACAATGACGCCACAACATATGCTGTTGATACTGCCAATTGTTGCATACCCCCACAAAAAAAAAGGGAAAGTCCTTTGTATGGAGGATTCTCGTCTCAGTCGCGTGACTCAGCGGACTAGCCGTTCGACTCCTCTCCGCCGGAGCCAGGTATCGGGCATGGACTCCACCCGCTTAGAGGGTCCGCAGATGGACGCGGCCACCTACAAGGCCACCCAGCAGCGGAGCCTTCCGGAAGGGCGTCACTGGCGATGTTTGGCGTGAAGGTTGAGATCGACGAGGGATGAGAGAGATGAGAGTGAGCAAAGCTCCTTCTGGTGTTATCTAGCGACCATCACCTACCTTTTGGTACTTGTCGTGGCTGGGATGTACAACATATAGTTAGTGCCAGCGCCTTAGCGCCACGTCGGGACGTACATCTGCTAAACTTAGCGGTGGCCCGGTCATCAGCAGGAACTGACTTCTTAGCAGGTGGCCCCCGGCTTTCTGCAAACAAGGTGAGCTGTGCTGGTGAGTTGTGGTGATTTCGTTTTCACCCACTTGGGGTGACCGCGGGTGGGATGGTCTTCCGCACGTCATACGGACGCTGCCAACCCACCTGGAGAAGCCCTCGTTTCATGGTGATTCACCCGCCGACGGCGAGGCGATGGTGGGTCTACAGAGCATGCCTCGGATGGCTGTGGACAAGCATACAGCTTGCAGTGGTAAGGCAGGGTCAGTGCCACCAAGGCGGCTACCGTTTCTGCTGAGTTTCTGAGTATGTGCTGAGAAGCTGAGTAGTGCGCCAAGACGCGAGTCTTTTGAGCCCGAGGAAGACCGAATGGGAGTCAGCTAAAGGATGCTGAAAGGTGCTTACAGGTGCATGGGAGGTGGCAAAGCACTGCTGGTTGTTTTCTTGTTCCAGGAGGCAGCCGACAAACCACAATAACCCCAAACAAAAACTCCCAAGTTGGGGGGGGGAAACCAACACCGACACTGTTGCCGTGTTGGAATCTTGCAGGAGTGGAACTATGCCGACCCGAGCTGCTGGGCGGAGCAATTCCCTCTCTGCCGCAATGGCCAGAGACAGTCGCCCATCGACGTGAAGAGGTGCGCGGCGAGCGCAGCGACGCACGCGTGCGGGCGAGCGTGGTGGCGCTTGGGGGCCGGCCTCTGGCACTGCAAAAGCCTGACCAATGAAATGTAGCAGAAAGTCTAAGTGGGGCCCGAGTAACTTGTAATGATGACCACAAGGACCTGGAGGCCATAGTTACTGTAGTTCTAAGATGTTCTAAGGATTCTAAGGCAGTATAACAGGAAGTTTGGCTTACCATATTTTATACCGTGGAGGTAAGGTGGAAGTGTCTTCTAAGTATATATATATATATATAGGTAGGCTTTGTGACTCTCTTTCTCGAGGATGGTATGGGCAACCAAATCCATCACTCTACGATCACGACATGCCCTAAACCGGATCAAGTAAATGCCCGGGCTAGACCGATTCGAGCCACATCTTCAAATGATTAGTGTGCATCCTGTTGAGCACAAATGGAGGACAAAGCAGCCTGGAGGAAAGACCCTGCTAAAGACCCTGCTCTACAAATGAGATAGCCAGGCCCAGTCCACTTCCATGTTTCACAGATAATCATGGAAGTGGAAACTGGCAACTCTTTTCTTCATTTCCTTCCATGACGAGTTCAAGGAATGTAACGGTACCTGCTAACCTGCAGGGGTGGTCGTCCAGAAAACTAGACCTCTCCAGAAATCTCCCGACCTCTCCAGAAATCTGTGGCAAACGGTCGGCGAAAGCAGGTCGACGGTGCTGGGATCTGGCAAGGACATGGACGTTGGGTGGGTTGAGAGAAGAAGAAGGGTGGAGTCTCAAGCTCCGGGGTGGTGGTAAGTTGTGAACGCTCGAGGTCAAAAGCCACTTGCAGCTGAGGGTCCACTATTAAACCACCCAACTATATAATAGGGGCAACTTGGGCCATCAAGTTCTCCATGGTCCATGCCCATGTGCCAAATGACTCATTTGAATGACGACCACCTGGGCGTAACTCATCTGTCTCGGGGAGTAAATTTGGCGGAGTGCAGTCGGTGAACCGGCCCAAGTCATGCCGCAGATGCCGACATGCGTCGGAGACGCATCTGAATTTCGTTGTATCGCCTTCTAAACCCACGTTTTTTTGCTTGAGTGTTGATTTTTTAAGACTATTTGGACCTGATGCGTGGACAATGGATGGGGATCCACAAGCAGGGGAGTCAGTGCATTGGCGAACCCTTGCTTGCTTCTGATGTGCTCTGGCATGTTTTAGTCTTGGTGCCCCATTCCCATGCAGTTTGCAATTTGGACTCAGACTATATGAGCTAGATTGGCTTAAACACATGTTTGTCCGACACCAGGGGCTTGGCTGCGCAGCATGTAGACACCTTCCAGGACAACTTCTTAGCAGCTTGCAGTTGGCGGCCAGTCGAGAACATGCATGTGGTGAAGCTTGGCAGACTTCACATGCTGGAGCCGCATGGTGTCCGGACGGCCTTGCCATTTGGACAGACGGACACCTATTACTGAGAAAGGGGAGACTGCTCGGAGATGGGTGTGTTGATTTGAAGCTAGACATGTGCAGAATCCCCCAAATTGTTCCACTAAGACCCACCCAAAAAAAGAACAATCTGCTGTCTTACAGCCGACCGCGGGCTTGGACCCAAGGAACTTTGGCAAGGGCCTGGCGGTGCCGGGCAATCAGTTAGGCCGGACCCTGGGCAGTGATGGCGCAGGTTGATGCGCACAGTCCGCCACGGCAGTTTTCAAAACAGCAGTCAATGGCAACATCTATGGCCACCGTCCTGTTTTATCCATCCTTTTTCTAATATACAACACACCTTTGCCCCTAGCGAAGAAATGAACCGCCTGCTCTTTTCCAGGGCCGTCCTGCACCTGGTTTGCGCCCAGTTTGGGTTTCAGAAAAGGGCAGTTTTTTTAGTGGTTCACTGAGTCCGACACCGTTTATATAATTAGGTAAATTAGGCATCTGGAAAGCTGGACCGCAACGAGCTAGTGTTGGCTTAAGCAACACATGTCTCGTGGCCAGGTTACATTACCATGACCGGAGAGGCGAGGGTGATGGGGCCGGATGGGGCTTATATCGGCCGATGACACTAATTTCTGAGATGCCCAGCACTTGGGACACTGTTCTTGGACAAAGCCTCGTCTCAGTAGCCTGGGTGCTTCTCAATGTCAGTGCCCTGCCATGAGCATTTTGCAGTTGCATTGGGCTACGATAACTTTTACTCCTTTGCAATCGCTCGGACGTTTCCTTTTAAGCTTTTTTTTTGGGGTGCTGTAGGCTTTGATGTCATGATAACGAGATTCTACTAGCTGGATCATCCAAGGGGTACCCAATGGAAGCCTATAGGTAGTGTGGAGTTACTAGTCCATTGGACACCCAGACAGGATGGTCCTGGTAGGATGATCGGATATTAATGAATCTTACAAGTAGTCCCAATCAGGGGTCACTCCTGCGGGGTCACCCCATTGGACCTCGAGAAGTTGAACCACCGAGTCACGAACGAGCAAGCTGAGCAAGCGGTTTGCACATGCGCTGCAACGCGCAGTTAGTGCAACACCCACCGTTAGTGGCCAGTTGGCCCAGCGGCGTCACGGTTCACCGCAGGATGGATTTCCTCAATTCTTTGAGGCGGGCACTGCCGAGGGTCCACGGCACCAGTTGGTCTTTGCTCCGGAGGGTCCGGAGCAGGAGGGCCGTATGAAGAAGTGCAGTGCTTCGGCCTCTCCAGGATTCAAAAGGCACTCTTGTATTTCGATGATTCAAGCTGGAGCATGGAAACCCTTCAGAGACCCAAGAGGCAGACTTCCCCACCAACACATACACCATTATATATGCTAATGAGTCAATTTCTTCATGTTCTCCATTTGCCTATCTCTCTCTCTCTCTTCAGCTGTTGCGTTCACTTCCGGTCCTAAAGCCACGTTTGCGTTTCACTCGCACGTGGCTAGGTGGCACAGATCCAGCTGAAGATGCCCTCAGAGCACTTCATTGATTCTCAAGGTTTCGGTGCGGAGCTTCAGATTGTCCACAGGCAGGGGCCCTGCTTCGTCGACCGGTCGAGTTCGAGAGCTCGACGTAAAACATACATGGTGGCATCAGGTGACTGAGAGCACATCAGGTGACTGGGAGCACCACGTGCTGTTCGTCACACTCCTTTCACAATGATGTTTGAAGGCTTCCGCGAAATGATGAGAACGTGTTCTGCAAAAACCGCAAGAACCAAGCCAACATTGGTTCAGTAGAAGGGATGTCCCCCGCCAAGACGACTTTCTGAATACAAAGGCTGAGCGGCGGGGTTCCACTTCCATTGGTCCATGCATGTTTGTCTGGAGGGACTGTATCAAGAGATGATCAATTTTTTTTAACCGTCCCAATTTCTCAGTGTTCCTTTCTTCATCTTTCTTGATGAGCATGTAGCTTTAACATCATGGGGCCCAATAAGCCTGCAAACAAATCAGTAACAAAGCAGAGATTTGCCGCCTTGAGTAGCTGCAGCTCATCCAGAAAGTTTCTCTTTGCTTCGGACCTCAGACCTTGCTCATGAGATCTCATGAGACAATCTACTGTAGCTTCGAGTCATGGAAGATTCACCTCATTTGGGATCCATCCCCCCGCCCGGTGAACGCGACGCGACGTGACGTGCCGTGACGAGTCAGGACGTCGTGCTCACGTCGTTCGAGCTCATGACATCGAAACCATAAGGCATCTCTTTGTGCTACAACTTGGGTGCGTCCCATCACCTCTAACATAGTCCATAAAGACTAAATATACTAAATAGATTTAAAAATAGATCACTATTCAGAGAAAGGCCTCCACAGGGAATGGGATATATACCCAAGCTACAACATCGATGCCCCTTCCGGCCTGGAAATGGCCTTCCTCTTGCCCCTCTCCGCAGAGAAGTCGAGCCGAGGGGCTCGCACGGGGCATGGGTCCTCCGCGCCTCTCTCCAAGCGACGGACGATGCCAGGAATCAACAAACCGTGACGCAAGGCATCAACTCGGCGGATTCCTTTCCCTTTGCTCCTCGGTCCAGGTTCAGGACCTTCTTTCGGTTCTGGTGGAGGCTGCTACGATGCGAGGGGGTGGTCGGATGGTGGGCGGAAAAGGCTTCGGTTCTGGTTCAGTCGATCAGCTGCAAAAAACCCGTGTTGAGGGGGGAAGATGGAAAACGGGTGACCTTTAGTGGTTCCAGGGGAACGACGGTTCGGCCGTTTTCAGCCGGTCAAACAGTCCAAATCAGTCCAACATCCAGTGCAGGTGCGCCACCCTGAAGGGGTCCCAATGCCGAAGGGGCGTTGTAGTAAGCCCATTCTCCTGAGGAGAGTTGCAGAGCTCAAGAGAAGATGAGAAGAATACACATCCTACTCCTAAGATGTTTATGATTGATGCCCTGCCCGAATATCCTCTATAGAATCTAGGAGCTCTATAGGGGGATTGTTATGGTATATGCGACATGTTTGTGTTTCTTTTCTTTGGATCCTTTTCTTCGCAAATTCTAGCAGCCAGTTTGGCCTGCTCTCTGAAAGGGGTGAGACTGCCAAGGCAAGATTCCTTGGTTGCTTCCAAAAGATTCATGTGGGTCAGGCAGTTTGGAGTGATAGCAAATACATGCACTTACATTTACACGCATCTACAGATACTGTACATGAAAAGGATTTAAAAGGGCCTGCCATTTCGATGTGGTTGCGAAGGCTAACCGAGGCGGGAGGATGGGTCAAGCAAGACTTGCACCCAGGTCACCACATCCTTTTTCTTTGAGATCGGCGACAAGGAGAGCCGCTTTGACAGCTTTTAATGGTGAGGAGCATGCACAAGGGGCTGTGGTGCCAAAACGCGGGAATGTTTGCACAGCAGCTGTTTGTTGGTCAAGTTTCCTTGGTTGCGAGATATTCTGAAGAAAGCCGCGGCCTTGCGGCAGCCTTTCTGCGAGGTGAGTGAGAAACACAGCTGTTGTACTTATTTTTTGTGTGATGCCTTTGGATGGGAAGGTTATGTGGTTCCATGGGCTCTTCTTCTACGGCCTAGACGACATAGAGGATTTGATGTGCACTCATCGGTTCTCATTCATTTCGACATGCGCCGTGCAGCACTTGCGTGTGCGCCAAGGTACTTTGCTGAGGCAGTGGCTTTGCTGAAACTCTTGGATTTCCGGATGGGACGACTTTCCTTGGGTCAATCATCGATAGACTTGAAGAAGGGACTTCGAAAGGAGTCAGGCAGGTTTTAGTCTATACCTTCCACTCACTTGGGAAGATTAACTTTCAATCTGAAAATGAACCATTGTAAGACCAGCTTCCTACACAAACCAGTGGTCTTTAGCTTCCATCTGGGTCGGACGCGGGCCGTCTCAGACTTCTCCAAGCGTTCAGTGTCGAAGCTTCGATCATTTCGTTCGAAGACCTTCCAGTCCCAGCTAAGCCAGGTGGAGTATCAGTACCAATAGATGTCTCTCGAATACTCCTTGCAGCAAACCCAAAATCGCTTTCATACGCGTTCGCATCGCCTTTGTTGTTTTTTTCGCATCGCATGATGCCGCAGGTTCTTCAGGTTTACTCTTCCAGCTGAGGCTTTTTCTTCCAGGGATTTTGGAGGCGGACACCTATCGAAGCTCGGCACCACCGGACCTCTCGGCCGCTTCGGACCGAACGAGGCTGGCACGTCGTGGCGGACGGTGGGGGCGGTCGGATACGACGTCGATCAGTGAATGGTTGGATTTCTTGATGAATACTATAACCATATTGACACCTCATTACCTAACGTGGAATGTAAATCAGGCCGGTCACAGACACCAGAGACCCCTTCCATCCTGCGGTGCGCTTCGATCCTCGACGTTGAAGGGGCCTTTTTCGGTCCAGGGTGCCGAAAAAACGTGCACCTGGTCCCCGAAACCGAAACGGTATATAGATATTTACCAATGTTGTTTTTTTTTTAATAAACCAATGATGTATTATATGTATACTTTAAATAGAAGACTCAAGAGATGTGTTGATGATTCCCTGCAAGCCCAGACAACCAGAATCTAAATGGAAGTGGCTGGCTGTTTGGGGATGACATCCTAGTGTACGACACTAGTCACTAGACGAGAGTGTGGTTGTGGCGGGGGGGGCGTCTTTTGTTTCACACCAGCTATCCTGGACTATGCGAACTGGCATGCCAACTGGGAGCCTTGCACATGAGTTATGCACCTCCGACATGCCAGTTCGACTTCAAAAATGAAGGGGACTTATGCCGCTTATGCCACATTTCTTTTGAGGTTTCTATCCATGTGGCCATCTAAAATTAGTTGATACTAGCCCAAGTATCTCCACCATGTCTTCCTCAGGTGTCATCCCACAGCCCTTAGATTTGATGCGGCATTTGGGCCCTGCTTTGGATGGTGCGCGGGGCGTTCCGGGCGCAGAATTCCGGGTTGTGGCGCAGGTGGACAAGACGAACGGACCGAGGGCGAAAGCATCGAAACCGGGAGGATGATTGAACCACTGTACATCGCAGGTGAGTCCGTCATGTCCAGCGGAACCCTTGAAACTTTCCCCTCTTGTTGCATGTTGTTGCGACGCAAAAAAAAAGGCGGATCTCTTTATGGTGACCGATCTGGAATATACTATATGTTCCTGCTCAATGTTGGATGTTCAGAGGCTGCTGGATTGATTCCGGAGCTGCTAAACTGGTTCTTTCCTTGTCCCCTTGTCTTCATTCAGATCCAAGTGATCCAAGTGACCGGAATTAGGAACCAGCTTCTTCTTCTTGTGGGGATGCTAACAAATGTCAGTGTCCGCAGGACAAGTACCTTTGAGCCTTTTGGGGGAAACGGTTTCCCCACTCGACAGAAACAGGTGGAAAAAGGTTATATGCAGTTTCAGGCATTGGCACCTCACGATATCCTCTAGATAGGGTTCCATCTCAACCACCCAACCTCTGACATTTGTGCCATCTAGTCTCAACCCACTTACTGTATTAAGTTGTAGACTTATACAATCTTTATTTTATCAGGATCTCCCGCACCGGGAGTGTTGCTACTTGCTACTTTGCTACTTGAACGGCTCAAGCCGAGCGTCACACCATCGGCCCGGAACTGCACGGAACCCGAGCCTCGGCTGGCGGTTTTGATTCGAGCCTTTATTCGGAGAGCTCGTCCAGGTAAGTCGCCTTGTGTCACAGGCATTGACCCATCATGTTTCATCCATCACTTTCACCTTCATGAAGCTCAGTCTCATTTGATCTCTATCCATCACATTTTTTATATGTTGTTGGGGGAAAAGGACAGCTCATCACCGCATGCATTTCTCCGCTTGCTGCGTGGTCCTGTTTCCCTCCCGAGGGCGTCTTCCAAAGGAAGGAGCAGTGCCTGCGGAGCGTTCCATGGCGGACGACCTCGAAGAGGAGACCGAAATCCTCGAGGACGTCGATGAGGAGGAGACTGAAGACGTTCAGGCCACGGTCGCGGACGCCCACGGCCGCCATGGCTGCCACGGGGACTTACTTGGTCTGCGAGTCGTGTTTGTTTTTTGGGGGGTCAAATGGTCAGGAATGGTTAGGAGATGATGGGAAGCATAGAAGCCTCGCAGGTGATACAATAGGTCATATAGATTTCATCCATTGACAGGCCTGATGGAGGGTGCTCTTAAGATGCACCATCTTGTTCTTTGCAGGAGGGATAAAGGGCGGTCAAAGAGTTGTGGCAGGGAACCTGTGAGTTCTGTGCTCCCTCCCTCTCCTTCTCATGGGACTCATGGGTCAGAAGCAATTTTGTTCACCCTCTCCTCGGCCAGGCGGAGGAGAGTGAAGACAACGAAGACAATGCGTCAGACCCCGGCGAGGGTAGTGTTCATGGGGAGACGGTGACCCAGGCGCTACCAGCGCAGTGGGGCCGTCTTTGGCGTCTTCGTTGAGGGCCGATTGGTGATGTACAGACAGTTGATTTCTAGATAAAGCCGCCGTCTTAATGAAGAGGTTTGAAGCAACAGTCCTCAAGAAGCAACAGTCTACACTAGGGGTATGACAGAATGACAGACCCCTGAACTTGGTGCCTGTGGGAAATGAGTTCGGATGAGTTCGGGGAAAACCCATCCATGTACTGTGCAGCCTGTAAAGAGCACCCATTCAGAGTTCAACCTTTGATCACCTTCGTTCTTCTTCCTTCTTACCAGCTGAGTTCAGCTTACGAATCCGTCCATGTTCGCCAGGATGAGGTTCTGGAGAAGTACAAAGCACCCTACGATCAAGGCCTGGACCGCGTGAAGTTCCCCGCCGACATCACTCAGGAGGCGCTGCTGCTCGCCGCCCATACGTCCGGACGGACCGGTGACGGACCGCTGGACCACTATGGACCCTGCGAATGGACCCGTGCTTCAGACCATCTAATGCCCGCCGCAAAACGCGGTGGTTTTGGATGATTTATGGGTTCCATGTTAATCTGCAAGGGGGTAAACCTATGGAGCTCCCATGTCCATAAAGACATAAAGCCTACCAAAAGAAGGATGTACAGCGTTTTGTCATCAAACCAGTCCAGTGGACCACGACTTGACCGCCTGAAGAACATTTTGCAGAGGGTTCCTGGCACCCAGGCCCCGGGCCACCATTGAAAAATGGAAGTAATCGTTGGTGTAGCTGTTTTTCGCTCAGCTCAACTGGGCAGGTTCGTCACCACTAAATCCCTAACTAGATGCCGCATCATAGGTCGTAACATGCAAAACACCTTCGACATGGGTGTGCTGAAGCATGTTGATCCTTGAGCTTTGTGTGTTTAACCGTTTAACCTTCACATCCCTTCACCCGGATGTTCGTCGGGGCCGGCACATAGAGCTTCAACATGGCCGTAGGACACGTGGTCGGTCAGTCAGCTAGTTGACTGAAGCACTGATGAGTTGGCGAGTGGTTGTGAAAAGGGCAACGTTGATTGACCGGGTTGGGATTGACCTCCAAGCCCGCCAGATCCAGCGGACGTGGCAGAAGTTCCTAACTCTTGCAGGCGTGGGCAACGGGCTGCCTGGGACGGTTGAGAAGATGCCTGCAAAATGATACCTTTTTGGGGTGTGGTGCTAACAGCAACTTCAAGTGAAGACAGCAAAAGCTCACATCACAGGATCACAGGGGTGCGTGCTTGGGCCTGGGGGTGACATCATGCACTCTGGTTCACTCTCCAACTCTCCACCTTTTTGGTGGCGCGCGGTGTAATCAAGACACAACCCTGATGGGAACATGGAACCGACAGCAAGTATTGTAGCATGATCATCTTCGTTTTGAATGTGTTCTATCTTCACTATACTATACCAGACTTGGACCGTGCAGCTGGAATTCATGGGATGTGTCTCTAAGCATAGACGCGTCGAATTACATAATGACAGGCAAGCACCTGAGGGAAGTTGCATCAGCATGATCATGCAGCATGGTCCTTACACTTACACTTAGAGGCGTGCTGCGCCTGGGGGATGCAGCTGGGATGCGGAAACTGCCTTCTTTTTTCTCCAAGGTTCCCTGCTAATGCCTCCACTTTCTAGGCGATTCCTGCCGCGCGGAGGGCATCCTTCATCATCATCATCATCATCATCATCATCATCATCATCATCATCATCATCATAATCATAATCATGACAGCTTGTTGATAATTATAGAGTATAATACTGTATATATAGTATATATTTTTACTGTTTTTTTGGAGGCATCGCTCATGTAGGGCCACCGGCTAGACCGAACGGCTGTTGGAAAGTGTAGGGACCCAGCTTACTTCGGGCATCCGATGTTGACCCCCGACGGGTGACCGGGAACCTTGCCCAGGTTCACCGGAACACGCGGGGGAATTGATCTTCAACGCCTGGTGGGGAGCCGCCCCCTCCCTTCACTCGTGAGGAGCTTAAAGGGAGCGAGCGAAAGGTCGAGCTCGCCTGAAAGCGAGGTTCGCGACACATCACTACACATGCAGGCTGCGGAGAAGTCAGAGTCAATCGATCACCTATATAACACTAACACATACTAACACATTATAAACCCCTCTGAACCTTTCTGGTATGTCCTTAAAGTATCCACCGTCAACATCCATCAGAGCCAGCCACCGCGCCGCCCTGACCCATCCTGACCCCCGGGTCCCACCCGAGGTCCTTTCTGACACCACGGACGGTGCTCTACCTGCGGCTGGTGCAGGGGATCTCGCCAGTGATCTCAGCTTTGTACCACCCGACCGAATTGAGGACCCAGGCCGACTCCGGTCGGACGGGCTTGGCGGTTTGGGAGGTCGTGGGGTCGGACGCGACGCTTGCAAAACGCATGGGTAAACCGGTGACCCATGGCCATATAGACCATAGATATCCATAGATGATGATGGATGGTGATAGATGGTGATAGACGGTGTGCGTCCAAAACGGCCTTGGGGTGGGTTGGGGTCTTCGCTGGTTCCTGTCACTGTGCTGGGGTCCAAGCTGCGCGTGGGCAAGTTGACTGCAAGATTCACTTCCTTCAGGAGTACAGCGTAGACCAACAGCTTGCATTTCTGATCATCATGATTCATCATGCAACCTTAAAGGAGTACGGCTTACACCTAAGGAGTACTTCATATCATCTGATTCACTTCCAAAGGAGTAGGTAAGCCTGAAAGGAGGCAGTTCCAGACCACACTGGCCCGACGCGTTGCCGCTCAGCGGTTGCCCGCCTTGCAGATCGAGATCATCTCCTTCCGTCACTTGGATCGGCCCGTGAGCACCCAGGCGGGACCTGTGACCGTGGCCGGCCAAAGGGAGGTATAATAGTAGTTTCTTTTCCCTAGTAGCTTCTTGTTACTATTAGTAAGGCCCCTAGTAGCGTCCTTGCTCCGTTCGTAGCGATGCCAGGAGCCCCGTTCGTAGCTGCTCGTTCCTAGTCAGTTCAAAGTAGATGGCACAAGTCAGCTTCTAGCTACTAGTAGTAATGGCCTCCGACCTACTAGCGATGGCCTCCAACCTAAGAGCTTCTAGCTAGTAGTAATGTCCATGAATGTCACTGAATGTCCATGAAAACTTCTCCTTTATTGTATGGGGTGTTGAGATGCTGTCACATCTTACCGCAGATCCATTTCGCTACTGATGGGGATGATGGGGGTGTCAATTGTTTCAAGAGCTCTTCAGTTTATATACCTGGACCTTAGATTACCTTTGCACATTTTTGCTTGCCGTCTTCGGACGTTGTGAACGATGACAGGTGATGAAGCTCTGGGTGATTCATGGACACACTCACCTGCCCTGCACCAGCCAAGGTCTCTGACTTCCTGTTCTACTCATTGGAATTCAATATGTGTTTGAGGTTTTCAGTCAGGGTGTACAGGATCTGCCTTCGGACTCACTTCCACTGGCAAAGACACCACTGGCATGGGATTCCATGGTGTGGCTTTCCCTACTCAAATCATACCTGCCAGTCACATCCAATGAACATCCGTTGGATCCTTGGCCGCTTCGCAGGGCGTGGAGATCTTGCGGGATGCCATGCTGGACATGTGGGAGGCGGAGCTGCAAGGAGACTTCACTCCCAAGGTGCCTTTTGGGGTCGGAGGGAGGCGATAGAGGTGGAGAGGGAGGACCTACCGCCAGGGCCAGCTGGACCGAAGGGGGACCGAGGGTGAAGGAACAAGCTCAGTACCCTCTCTACAAGCTCGGTGCTACCAATGAGGGACTGGTCCCGATTTCCTCAGGTCCAGGACTCGCAGGACGGTCCAATGGGAGTGGTCATAGTAGTGGACGTGTGACGTGGGCGCATCGGCTTCGTGACGTGCTTTTTTTTTTAGAGAAAAGACCACTTACAGGAGTGGTATGGGAAATTGAAAGGTCAGGCATGAAAGGTCGTCTGCAGCGGTTTTCAGCGGCAGAACGCCAACAGTCCTCTTGGAGGTAGGCTTCGGAGCCGGATGCGATGCAGGGAGATTTCAAGGTACTGATCTTTTTTGTTCTTGTAGCCCCCCTGCAGGATTTGAAACCTTGGAATGGTGTCAAGTGGAGCCGATCGACAGTACCGTTCCACGTTCTGGCTCTGCAGGCTCGCCTTGGCTGGTTTTCTCTCCTGAACTATTGGGGCGGAGCACTCTGCTATTTTCAACGCGAGCCGCCTGGCCACAGCGTGGTGCTGGGGGGCTGGTGATGTGGTGAAGACGGGCCCCCAAAGCAAGTTCTATGTTCCACTGGTTTGCACTCCTCCACCGCAGCGTCGGAGTTCCTGAGGCACGCGACGCGCATCAAGATCATCCACCGCAGCTGGCGAGAGGCCAACAAGTCGGTGGCACTGCCAGAAGAAGAGGAGGAGATGAGATGCGAGACGTGAGAGCACCAGTGAACTGAACAAAGGTGTTCTAGCTGCCCATTCTTCATCACACTGGGAAAGGGGTTCTAGCTGTCCAGATTTGCAACAATCTTTTGATGTAGACCATCACTTCATCAATGGGATAAACATGGATAAACTGATTAACTTATAAACAACGCCTCAGCATCCTCACCCTGTGGGCATGTATCTTAACAGCTAGTCTCAGGTTGTTGGGTCATTCACCTGAATCGCCAGCCAAATCCCAGTTCACCTCAGGAGATGCAGCAGGGGGGAAGGGGCCACTGAGGACGGCGAGGCGGGTGGCGAATTCTCGGACCAAAAGGGCTTGGACCAGGCCCAACTGGATCTCCAGAAGTTCCACCAACCGCGCGACCAGCAGTCTTTTCCACCACCAAAGCGTGTTGTACCGACCCTTTTTTCTTGGACTGCGACTGGGGTCGCCACGGACTCCAAAGTGACTTCGCCTCGACTGGGGGGCGACAAGGTCGCCAGTGCTTGTGACGCCCTGACCTGTCGTGAGGGTGTCCTAGTTGGTTTTCCATCGAAGGAAGCCCATCTGTGAAGCACGAGTCTGTTGATGATGAAAGGGATGATTCTTGTGGTGGGTTTAGTGCAGGGGGGTCCTTGAACAGGTGTGTCAAGGACACGCACACACACACACATATATATATATATATATCATATATATATATATAACTATATATACAATATATAATATATAAAACATATACTACAACGCCATATAAAACAAACACCTTATACTCGTATGTGTCTGACATATGTCAACATATGTATGTGTAAATCCACTTAAAATAACTATATACCGAAAATGTATGCAGTCAGCACTGACGTCAAACCGAAATCCTGAAGCACATAGAATACGGAATTGGGGGTCCACACCCTACATGGGCATCTTCCGGAATTGAAACCCACACGGGTACTTGGAATATTTGCATCTTCCGAAATTGAAATCGAAACATATACTTGGAATACAAAAAGCATCTTCCAAAATTAACAAAAATGTACTTGGAATCTCGTGGATTGTGAACACTGAACACTTGACATCTTCAGGACCTTTGTATCAGTTACCTCTTGTTGCAGCCATTCTTGCTGCACAAACACCTAAGGGGTTAGAACGTTGGTAGTTGTTGCCATGGGAGAAGATGTCCTGCAAAGGGTGCTGCCAGAAGCGGACAGTGACGGATACCGAAGGGTAACTAGTTCTGATACGTAGAGTATAATTAAGCATCCAAGGGTGCCAATCGCTGCAGTGGTGGCCAAGGAAAATGACTCTTGGTCTCCTAAGGCACCTTCAGAATTGAAAACATTTGTGACACATTCTAAGTACATGGCCGACGGTTTTAAACAGAGACGCATCTTATTGACATATTTTTTGTACCGGTCGGTATGTTCTATGTATTTTTTTGGGGGCCGCTTAATTGAAATGTACCTTAGTTGTAAGTATTCCCGGATAGTTGTATATATATATATGTATATATGTACATAGATGCACATGATGCATCGCAACGTACACACATACACATGTATTCATAGTTAACATTAAGTTGGTATATATATATATATGTATGCTCACAGACTCACAGTGTTTAGTTATTCTGCAAATATGTATATATCAACTCAACCATTTCGTGCCAGAACACCCACCTGATGATTCCCACCATTTTACCGCGGTGGTTTTGCGGTGCTTTTTCTCACGACCACTACATGAAGAAGGCACCCAACACACAGACACACATGCGCACACGGACTTGCGCTGTGGGATTGCACTCCGTCCCTACTCCGCGGTCCGGTCCCTCCGTCCCTCCGGCCTTCCGGCGCGAAAAAAGCCGCGTCGCCGGACACGGCCGTGGCCCAGTCTGGCGCCATGCCGATGGAGAGCCAAGAACGGAAGGAGGAGGCCGTCAAAGAGGCCCTGCTAGGGTCCGGTCTGGCCGGATGTTTAATGGGAGAGAATGAAAGATCCACTGGTGGAAGGTCTTCCTAGACTCAGGTTGGGGGATCAGGGGGACAGCAGAAGCAACACCCCGAACTCTTGAACTTGAGCTTCTAACATCAAGTAGAGAAAATGGTAGACCAAGTTTCGATACTGCCGTCCCTCAGGCAGAGGATTTGGAGGCCTAACACCAGTTGTTGGACAATGTGAAGCATAGATCCACCACCTGTTCGCGTTCCGCCACTTCTGAATCTTCTGACGAGCTCACCCAGTTCACTATGGCTAAGACTCCTAGGCCAATCCCCAGATGAACAGATTCCCACTGAACTGGGCTATCTTGACAGCCTGCGAACGGCCTCCCTTCAGCGCCATACTCCACTTGTGACATGGGCCGGGCCGTAGGTGGTAGAGGATGATGCGGCGAGTGAGGACAAGAAAGGTCATGGAGATTCAAAGATGAAGGCAGGACATGGCGGGACCATGCGGGACCGATCTCTTTTCGCGCCCGAACTCGGACCACTCCACGGCGGGACCGGGCTCTTTTTCAGACGGAGTCAGACCGTCGTGGCTTCTCATCCGTTTCGCATCCGGCACAGCCGTTGAACCGTTGAACGGTCGAACTCCTTAAGGGTCAAGATGGAGGTTGGGATGGGACACGCCGCAAGAATTGAGTGGGTAATTACAGTCTTAGACCGGTCTTCACTCTTGGGCGAGAATAAGTTTCGATTTGGTTTCCCCATAGTCTCCGTAGTCTTCTTCTTGAGGGCAAATCGCATGCAGACATTCACTGTGACAGAAAACCGTCCAGAAGCCACCCAGGCTTACCATCCACATGACTGCACAGGGTGCGGATAGGGTGCATCTGGACCATAGATGGGCGAAGACCGCACGGGATGCCATCGAACAGAACAACAGAACATCCGCATGGTTTCCATGGTGGGGGACACTCAGGGACCCTTTAGCCGACTTAGCGGAACTAGTTGCTGAATGCAGTTGCTTTCTGATCCTCTCCTGCAGGTTGGGCCCTGAAAATGGTAGAGTTTATAGAGGAATAGTCTTCAAGCAGTCCTTTGAAAGGCTGTCCATGTTGGCCGTTCTTCGGGACTGCCCGTTCTGAAAAACAGAAAACACCGACGACCTGGTTCCAGGTGCCCACAACCTTCCGGGAGATGTTCTTGTTCAATGCAGCAGTGATGGGCTTCGGGAATTCCAAGTGGATGGACATCATCTTGGACCAGCTCCTCGCTTCAGTGAACGGTACGGGCCGGGTACGGGCCGGTATGGCCTGAGTTGTTGGGCATGGTGCAAGGCTTTTTTGATTCTCAATGATCTTCATGCAGAATCCTTAGACATCAAGTTTGGCCTGCCCAGAACTTTTCCCGTGTGCGGAATTGGGCAGATGAGCTGATGAAGCTGAACTTAACTCGGCTTTGGAGGGTGGATGAAGCCTCCAGGCTCTAGAAGATCCTCCAGGTTTTCAGGGTTGGGGAAGGATGGCTGCCCGCAGCGGAAGTCAGTTTGGGAGAGTGTCGTGGTGCAACCAGGGTAGATGATGTTTGACGGTTGACATATGTTGACATTCCAGGACTACGGCCTACGCGAACGTGTGTGTCGTCCCTCCAGGTGCCAGGGACGCTGGAACTCTGTGGACCTTCAACACATCTGTTACCCACACCTGTCTTTACCATAATATAAGCGTCAACATCAACTCTTGTGGATCTTCACATCATCAACACATCATCAACCACATATGATCTTGCCCCCCCTGGCGCCACCCGAATCCCCTCAGGTCTGGGACGGGACCGACGGGGGGGCTTGCGCACCGAGGTTTGACGCTTTGGTCGTGAACATCGCCAACTCCTACCGTTTGCAGGACGTGGACGCTACTAATTCGGGGCTCCTGGCCGTGGGATTGGGAGAGCGCCGCTGAACAGGTGAACAGTGAAGAGTGAACCGGTGAACCTTCTTATGATGTCAGGGAGACTGAACATAAAAGGAGTCAGGGCATCGCACGGCACAGTGGGACTTCGCCCGGCACCGCCACGTTATCCGCGTTGAATCGATCATCTTCACCCGGTCGAAGCTGCACCGCATGCCACTGGCGGTCGGTGCGGCTGGAAGAAGCCCCCTGCAAACCAAAACTATATAGTATATATGTATGTATATATATATTTATATAATATATATACCTGGAATGAACACCGAATTATTTATTTTTTGTTATCACGTGAGAAACAACACATTATTCATTTCAAGTTCTGGATGCAGCCGTGGGGCAGATGTCTAAAGTCGAACGGCACAATGCCGGTGTCGTCCGGTCCGCAGCACGTTTGGCTCACCTTGCCTCACGTCCTGCCCGAGTGATTGATCCGGAACAATGGGAGGCTTGGCACGGAAGGAAAGCGCAGGATGCTTGATGGAAGATCTCCAAATTAGCAAAGGAACAAGCAATGTTGGAAGGAGCATGGGGAACTCCCAAGAAAACTCCAAACAAGCATGTTGGCTGGTACCTCGAAGCCTTGTGTCAAGGCCAGCCTTTTCGCGTAGAAATAGCGCAGGAGCTGTGGTGGACCGGTGGCTTTCCCGACTGATTCCACCAACGCAACTGCGGGCAGTAAAGCTAACCGGCACAATTGCCAAAAGGCTGTCAGTGATGTGATGTTCCCATAACACTTAAGACTCAAGACTGCATGACTCATGACTCATGCAGGAACAACAATTTCGAGCATTTACCGACCCAATGGTTCACCCAACCCAAGACCGTCCCAAACAAAAGACAGCCCTCACGGGGCATGTACAGACTCCCTGATAAGGCCCGCTGTGTGTTTTGATCTTTCCCACGGCGGATGTAAGTCGCTTTATTGCTGTACGTACTTGTAGCTTTGCCAAATGCTTGAACCCACACGGTCCGGTGAGACGATCGGGTTCATTTAAGGAATGTATACTCCTGTGCCAGTCCATGCTGGCCGGTACGTAACCTGCTTTAAGGTGGATATGCCTTACTAACAATGAAATAGTGGTCTGTATCATAATGTAGCAGCATCATCCGGCCTGATTTAGGCCAAATGTCAGATGTCCCTTCGATCACGTCGGCCTCATGTGGGGCGCACCTGACCGCACCTCAGGAAACTCCTGCAGCAGTGGTGCCGATGGTTCGCTGGAGGTCCGGCCCGTGGCGGGGAACACGGCCAACACCATGCATCTCAAAAGGCTGGATGGCACCGGCGGGTGGGGAGCCGCGGCTGGGGAGCCGGGCGCGGGTCTGAGGTCCACGAGTTCATCGAGAAAGGACATTGAGGGCGTGAGGTCCCAGTGACCCAGAGGGTGGTTCTGGACCCCAGGCTTCCAACCACCATGCATTTAAGAGGCTACCGAACCACCATTGTTTTAGTTTGGCACTACAAAGCCAGGTGAAACCTTTAAAGGTCTTGGAAGTCTAGGGTAGCGAGAACACCGGTGATGGAGAGCAGCTTCCCTGCGGTTCCAAGCTTCGGCATCTGCTTCCAGGAGTCGCAGACAGATGCAGGGTGGCGACAGTGGAATGGGTACCCATACGACCGCTGGATCGTCAATATCCGACGGAACGCAAGCCTCCTGGTGTAGGTTGAAATGCGGGAGATTTGCTTATGTTCCACCTCCAGTCCAATCAAAGGTGAGCATGGTTCTGCTAAAATCCCAAGAACTCTGGGCCAGTTGATTTCCCTTTGGAAACTGCGTCAGGACCGCTCCTTCTGAAACCCTTGGTGGTCCGACCGTTTCCTTCCCAGGAACCCCGGGTTCTTCACAGCTCGCCACGCGGCCGGAGGATGATGCCCCAGCCGGAGCCGCCGCTGATCTTCCCCGACTTCCCCGTACGGACGGAGAAGGTCACAGTGTCCAAGGACCTGCCTGGAGGCACAGAGTGGTGGAGGAGACCTGGGAGAGCTACCAGACCGGGAGGCACATGTTTACCATACTGGGTACCTGGGTGAAGTCGTCTGGTCTTGTAGAAAGTCGTTTGGATGCTGCGTTGACATTGGGGTTAGATGCAAGACGGCAATAGAACTGGAAGAGTATCAGGTCAACAACATTGTTTGGATGTTTGGATGCTGCGTTTCCATGCGGTTGAGGTGCAAGATGGCAATATAATTGGAAGATAAGCTCTGGAGTATCAGTTCAACAAGTGTGGTTCACCAGAGGTGTGAGCGGGGCAGAAGAAAACTGCATGTTTGGTTCCAGCAGTTGTTGTTGCCGTTGTTCTTGCTCCACCCTCTGCGATACCAAAAGGCATCCTTGGCGTGCGAAGAAAGGTGTGTGCCACTGCCATTTTCGGCAGTTCGTTTTTTGGCCTGATACTTTCGCCGCGCCATTTAACCCTAGCCTTCAACGTTGATGTTTAACGTCGCATTTCCATAAATTAAGAGAAAAGAGTATGTCACTATGTTTTAGCTAGTGAAACATCGTATTTGAGGGCTGTATTCAGTTTCAGATTAGTTTCTCCCTGCACAGTGGCGGCCAGTGGCGCAATTCCTCAATTTATCGAACAAGGACTGTCCTCATCGTCCAAACCGTTGCACTTCCTTCATGGCCGCGCCAAACCACTCGGAGTTGGGCGGCCACAGAGCCTTCCTGCGACCTCGATGGGTTCCTTCCTGGGACCTCAACGGTGTCAGTCGTCGCCAGGCAGCTTTGTGGACAAGGAGTTCCCGGCGGCTCCGGAAAGCATTGGCGGAGTGACAGGCGGGGGAGCTTGAGTCGAGTGGCACTGCCAGGTGGAGGAAAAACAGAGATAAGAGCCCAATTGGCTCGGGCCCCACAATTATATAAACCATCTCATGCACCTCAAAAGTGCTCATGCACCTGAAGTGGGCGACAAGTCCACGATCTGAGTCTCCAAAAGACCTGGAACCAGGTGTGTTCCAAGCTAAGAAACAGGATATGAGAGAACAGGTGCCCGATTTGCGGGTGAAACCCTGTGCAGTTCCGCCCGATGGATCCAGGTCCCGAGGGAGTCGTCCCGTGGATCGCAGGAAGTCCTGTGTCCTCTTCCTCGGTGTGTGTGTCTAGGTGGTCCTTGGAGTCTGCCGGTCGGGCCTGGTAGGGTCTAGTCAAGTCGTGTTCAAAATAAAGGAACACATGGTTGTAACGTTTTCTCTCCCAGCCAGAGTAGCATTTGTTGCCCAAAGAGGCGTTCCAGGTTTCCGCCCTTTCCCTCCGATCAAAAGAGAATTGTGTGCTAGTGACCATGAGTGGATCTACTATGACCTACGCGATTGCACTATATATACATATATACACATATATACATGCATACAAGTATATATAGATATATCTATATATATATATATTCTAGTTTAAAGCAGTCTCCATAAGATTCACTATATAAGTGTTATTAAGTGTTTATGAAAGACCCCCTCATTCATTGACCTCCTTCATTTTGCGTGGTCCCCCGCTTTTGACCCAGGGAAGCCACATGGAGATTTCTCGGTGTCCTTCAATGATCTTCAAGGCTTTTCAAGGCATCCCATCAAATTCTGGCCTCTCCCACTTCTAGTAACAAGGGCATCGCTACTAGGAGCAAGGACGCTACTAGGGGCTCCTGGCCTTACTACTAGGAGCAAGGACGCTACGAACAGAGCAAAGGGCATCGCCACCAGTAGCAAGGATGCAGCCCCTAGCGGCCCACCGTTGCTTCCACGGCCACACGACTTGGCATGCACGCGGCGAGACGTACGTCTCGCGGCCGCAGGGGATGATGCGAATCCCAATGTGGGCAAATACTTGCAGGATCCTGGGACAGTTGGGGGAGAGAAAGCAATGAACTTTGAGTCGTTGGAGTGGATCGAGGGGGTGACACTGAACACGTTGGCAGGCATCTAACCAATTCGAGAAGGAGGCTGAACAATAGTGGAAAACGCACATTGAATCATTAATAATTCATATAATTACATCATCAAAAAAATCTTACAACATCATTTCCTGATTAAAACCATTCTTCTTACCTTTGCCACCTAACTCCAATAGGCTACTAGTCCCTTTTTCATCCCTTCTTCCCTCGTATCCAAACCGACCCAACACCAGCGGTTCGCGCAGGAGATGTTGCACTTGGTGGTGCCTGGCTGGGTGCGCCCCATGGAGATGACCCTTGGGCATAACCCGGTCTCCTTTCGGGTCCCGACCGGAGATGGAGTAGACGACGTGGAGGGCGTGGAGTCACCTGGGACGAGGGCGCGCGGGCGGTGGACGTGGTCTGAATGGAAGGCCCCCTTTGAACAGGATGAGGGATGGAGGATGTGAATGCATTTTCTGAAGGGATGGAGGATGTGAAGGGCGTTTGGGGCCTGTTTGGGGCCTGGATCACCGAACATGATGGAACTCAGGACGTGGAGGCATCTTGACTTTTGGAGATCCATGGTGCACCACCGCAAAATCAGAGGCAGTCTCTTATAGTAGTGTGTAAAACCTGCATTTGGTGTTGTGGTCTTCGAATCGAACATGTTTGTTCAACAGGGTTCAACAGGTTTCACAATTGAGGTGAATTGGCGACCCAGTTCAGTGGAAAGTGGGTCTGTGTGCAAACCTCAATCTGATAACATCGCTCCAAACACATCAAAGCCCCGAAAATGGCATCCTGAGCATCTTCACATTTTGACTGCAAGGTTTGTTGATCTGTTGCGGTTCTGAGGAGCGCCCAATGTAACCGGAACGGTCTGCTCAACCGACGACCACTGTTTTGCCATGCAAGGATCGGCAAGCACGCCGGCGAGTACAAGCTTCAGGGCGTCACCGGAGAGCCATGCCTCTTTAAGCACCTTGCCGCGAGGAGAATGCTAGGACTAGGAACAAGAAGCTACTAGCGGCAAGAAGCTACTAGGTGGAGGCCATCGCTATTAGGTTGGAGGCCATCGATAGTAGGTTGGAAGCCATCACTACTATAGTACTATATAGTTGCCTTAGCCGCCTTATTGAGGAAGAGATCCCGCACGGGCGAGTCGCCCCGCAGAGTGATTGAACATTCCGACTGGGAAGACTAGAGGAGATTTCACTACCAACAGGAGGGTTTGCCACTTCCATTGTTCAACTGGGCGGCTTCTGCCTTTTCGAATTCTGCCGGGTCGTTGGAAGACGTGTTCGGTTCCTTGAGCGGATGGTGCTGTGCCACTTCCTTCTTTTCCGTTTTCTGATGTATGTGAACCAGAATGGCCAGCGCCTCCTCCAGGAGGGCGCGATAAATCAGAAGTGTCGCGGCCATAACCTCCACGGCCGTCGAACCGGTCTAGACGGAGCTCTGTGTGACTAGCACGGCCGCTTTGCCAGGCATGCGTCTCCTCGCGACATTGAGCAGGGCTATTTGGGTGCCTTTCACCTGGAAGTCGAACGTCGGAAGTCCAGCGTAGAGCAGCAGCAAGCTGCTCCTCATGCTCTTGTTGATCCTGAGTCTGTCTAATTGATCCCTAACTCGTCTCTTGACGCGATGAACTTCATGCACACATCGACCGGGAGTTGACCCCTCCCGGAGCCCAAACACCAGCCCGGTCACCGGTGGACGACCGGGAGCGTGGACTGTTATGAGGCTAACCCCGTAGAGCCAGCCCCACAGATAGATGGGCTCGGTGAGCAAATCAACAAGGGCTACATTTGCGGTTGTCTTAGTGATGAATGTACTGTAGCCTCTGTGTACAGTGTGCCAATGTAGAGCGAGAAAACAACCAATTCCCCTCTGAAGCGTCTATTGCACAATATTGCACGCGTTGTTCTAGTTGTGTTTTTCGATGAAAGATCCACGTCACGATTGGACTCAGGACCTCACGATTGGACTTCCATGGATGTCAGGACTCCACCCCTGACTGATTCATCTCCTCCCCCGGTGTGGAGATGATTTTGGTCGAAAGACCATCTCTGAAGGATTCAGGAAGTTCCCGAAATCAGATCGTCTACAGACTAGCTTTTGACTCGATCTCTCATTTTTTGGAGCATAGTTCTTCCATGTTCTTCCTCCCAAAAGCTGTGTCTTCCAACCGTGGGACTTTCTCGGATTCCACCGCCACTCCATCCGCTCCGCAGCCCTCTCCATCCGTTCAGCTCCGCTTAGCTCCAAGCGAGGCGATTGCTGGTTGGTGTCGTCCTTCTCCGCCCTGGCCGAGTATCCCGACCGCGTGCGCTCGCTGTTCAAGCAGAAGGAGCTCGCAGAGGAGCGACCGCGACCGGTGGCGGTGCGGGGGGGGGTTCGATGCACAGCTGAGGGGTAGGCTTCCTGGTGGTTGTCATGGGGTCGCCGAGGCGATCGCATCACGTATCTTGGCCCTTTACAGATTTGTGACATTCAGCATCATTCAGCCGGATGTAGTGGGTTTAATTGGCATTTCAGCGGCCAGTGGCAAAAAAGGTTTGTTGGCGAGAAGCCCGCTTGGTGTTTCTTTTTTGGCCAGCCGGGGATGCAGAGGTTCCTAGGGCTGGGCACATCCACGTCAAGTCGAGTGTCCAGCTGCGTGGCTGGCTGCGGAACCGGAAGGTGCCCGTCGCGAGATGCTTCAGCCAGGATGGACGGTATGACATCAGGCTCTACTGCCCTCATGAGGAGGAATGGAAGGTGACCTAGCAGCTGACAGTGACAGAATTGATCCACGTGAGTGAGGAAAGATCCTTTTCCAAAGGAAGTCTCAGTTGTGGGGCAGATCTAGCAGGCTGGCTGATCTAGATCCTTCTAGTGACCAACTTTGTGGACCACTTGTTGGTGGGCCCAGGTCAGCAACTAGTGGATGCTTCATGCAGGATTCCGGGAAATCCTTGAGTTTTGCAGATGGGTCTGAGGCCTGAGAAAGGTTTACAGGGAAACTCACCTGAAAAAACTCACTGCCCCACCCCTGCAGTTATATAAGGGGATGAGCTAGGGTGTGTATATAAATATATGTGTATATAAGCTTCAACAAAGTCCCCTTATAGAAGAATAGCATGAAAAAGAGTCATCCAACATCCAATGGTCTTGTGTCATGTACGCAAACTCTGCAGTGCAGGGAGGAGAGAGCCATGGGTCATGAACCTGCCCTCCCGAAAGCTACTGCAACATTAAAGTGACATGAGCCCTGTAGCTAAAAAAGCAACGGCCGAAGAAAAAGCGCACCAGCTGGTCCGATCAAAGCCGAAAAAGGACGATACAAGAACCACCCTAGGAAGCATTGAAACCCGTAGGACGATCCACAACTGGTCTTCTTCCGTTCCTAAGGTCATCACCATTGACGATCGTATCCCCTATTGGCAGCGCCCGGGCCGGCCGCCCGGCATCGAACACCTCGGGGCTTTGGGGACCGTTCTGGACCGGTCAAGGTCGTGGGGTGAAACGCTTGGAGGGTGGAAATCGAACACGTTTGCCCGATGTTATATGGTTACATTGCACAACATATTACATATGATTTGCTCACCATAAGCTGACTAGTAGCACGGGAGGAACGAATGGAAGGACAACAAAGAGGGTCAACTTCACTGACCACATCAGTACAGTAGCTAACACTCTGGCTATCCTTTCTGGTGGTGAGACTGGTCCAGGGACACACCGTGCCGCCGTAGCCATCCGAAGCATTAACCCACACCGTGTTGTTCGTACCGCCGGGCCCAAAACCAACGGAGCCACCATTTCACGCAAAGCCAGGAGAGCCTTTCTGGATGCGACCACCCCAAAAGGAAGTGAAGTGAAAACAGTGGTGCCATGGTGTGCCCAAGTCTGCCCAAGTCTGAGGTATGGCCAACCCTGCTTCGCGAAGCCCACCAAGGAGCGCAGCGCTCGCGCTTGGTGCCTTTATTTCGGTGGGGGGTGAAGAAGGGTGACATAAAGAGAGTTAAAGAGAGGCAAGTCCTGGGACCCATTCTCGGCTCTCGGACCGAAGCCTCGACACTTTCGTGGTTCTTCAGTCGCCAGGTCCGACGAGACACGCATTCATCATCCTGACAACGGGATAAGACCCCAAGACCCACACCAAGTGACTCATCTACCAGCAGCCTTCAACAGGTCTCCTCTGGAGGGTTGTTGGGCCTTAGCAGGTCTCAAGTGGAGACCTGTTCGAGGGTGCTGGTACATTGCGTCTTTCCCTTGTTAGATAGGTCCCTCCAGGACCATTCTTCCAGAATACCAGCAGGTGCCGCCGATCCACCTCGTCCTTGTGAGCTTATCAATTCCTGAAAGAACGCTTTGAAGAAATTCACTTGTCACTTCTCCACTGTTCTTTGCCTCTTCGTCACATGCGCCCAACCGCTCGTGGCCTGGGTGATGTGTGACGGTCACGGGTTGGGAAGACCCGCGCGCCGAGTATGCAGGAAAATGAGTTTTGGCCCTGCCTCTTGGAGAAGGCCTGCGCGAAGCTGGTGAAGGCCAGTGCGAAGCGGGTGAGCAGCGCTGCGCTTGTGTGGGGTGCCCGTTTGGCTCAAAGATTTGGGATTGGAGAGTTGATGTTCGCGCGATTCGCCATTTGCAGCTCCCAGAGGCCTACTATCGCTTGGACGGCGGCTTTGAGGCGGTAGCTTTGGAGATGTTGACGGGGAAGCCCGCCATCAGCTTCCAGCTGAGCTTGAGCGGAACAGGCACGCACTTGAGTGTGCGCGCACATTGGAATGACATGTGGGGTGTTCTTGGGTGACCGCAGGCGTTCCCTCACATGTCTATACCACTGTGCTGCCTACAAATGAATCGGCGAATCGGGTTTCAGTTAACCGCTGGTTCATGAACCGTGCTTTTGATGGACCTCATCCTCTGCCAGAAGCTGAGAGCATCCGGAATGCATCGTAGATGGTAGACGCCTTTTGAAGATAGGCTTCCTGTCGATGACATCCAGTACTTCAGAAACCCTTTTAACATGAGCCATCATGCTCCGCGCTCAAAGGCCCCCAGAAGTCGCCTAAGATCACCTAGTAATCCATGTTGCGATATCTTGGGCCTGTCCTTTGACCCAGAGAAAGGCCTGCCGCCAAACCACATTGTCCACTGGGCCCTGGCAATAAGATGACCCAATGGATGTTCATCATCCAAGTGCTTCAACACCCCGCCAGGCCATCAGCCATTCGGGCGCCTCGATTTTGGGAGTGGGGCCGGGCCGGGCTGCTGACTGTTGGGCCATTACCGGCTTGGGGCGTTAGAAAGCCTAGCCAACAGGGTGATCAGGTGTAGTGTAGTCAGTCCAAAAGCTATATATGGCGAACGAATTCTTATGTCTGTAGAACCTGATGGTTTGCTTTGAAGGAGAGAACTTCTCAGGCCGTCAGAAGATGTACACTGTTACATAGGCTGTTTGGTTAGGCTGTTAGGCTTCAGGGACTAGCATAGTATCATAGCAAGTCAGAAAGGTTACAGCAGCTGTTTCATCACAGCACTGGGCGATTTGCGGAGCTCCAGTGCAAGGAGCTCCAGTGCCCGGCTAGCAAGTGAACCTGGAGGCTATAAAGATAGAACATGATAGAACTATAGAACTATATATGATACGCAGTTATTTTTCGCTTGGTTTTTGGAACTATATATTATATTAACATTATTGATCTATATAATATAATCTAACTATATTACTATTGACCAGAGAAAGCTAGCTAGGAATACAACTCCATCACTGCATGTTTGCGTATGTGACCGCTGTTATGTCAACTTTTCGGGAGATCGGAGATGTCTACAAAGGGTTGCCCTTTGGGCAGCTATGTAGAACAGGTATCCAGATCCATTTAATGTGGCATTGTCATGTTGTCTCTTGCTTGGTTGCAATGGTTGTGCACCTTCAGAAGTGCGTTCTTCAGATTCGACTGCTCCTTCTGTTAAAGGAAGAAACCCTGTGCCACTACTCCGAGTACGGTGTATATATATCTATCTATTTATATACTTATTCATCCCTGGAACCAATTTCTTTCGCTGTTTTTGAAAAGGGTAAGACAATGTTTTGTCTCCCAAACAGGGGTCACTCAGTGTCTAAGCATTTATCGATAGTTCTTCCATCAACCGCATCGGGGTCGAACAACGCTGAGGATCGTGACAGGTCCCGACGACAAGCACTTGCAGCACGCCACCGTGTACATGCGCCTAAAGGGCATGGATGCCAACTGGGGCTACTGGGGACAGGACCACCACGACTCCATCCAGACCCATGTCAATGTTTGACGGATGGAATGTGATCAGTTCGCTCCATTTGAGCCGCTTGCCCAACGTCCGACAGCAATTCTCCAGGACGCTTCTGCCTTCTGTGAGAACAAGGTTTCCTGGAGTGATTCAGAGCTGTGGGCCAAGATGAAGGAGCTGTTGGCGACAGAGAAAACAACAACCACGCATGCCTTGAATGAACATATACTCCAATGTTTTGTGGATACATGCATGAATGGGTTTGCGCAGCTATATAGGCTTTCACCTGGTGCTCACCCCAAAGATGACATTTAACGGACACCAAGCGATGACAAATTGTGGCTGTGTCGGTCAGCATGCTTTGATGTTTGTCGAGAGCTCAGGGTGTGGCAACATTTGTTCTATATAGGGACGGACTGAAACTTAGAATGACGTTTTGGAAACCTCGGGCCCAAATTTTGACACCGGAATGAAAAGTCGCAGCGCCAGAAAATCTGGAGAACACGGGCATTTTGGAGAAGTTTAGCCCCTCTCACAAAAAATGACCTAAAATAGCAAAGATAGAATTCTAAGTTTCAGTCCGTCGCTATAATTGTTCTTTCTGTGGAAAGGTTAGGTCAGTCATATGTGGCTAGAAGCTGGAAGATCGTGGTGATGGAACCCCCCCACGGAAGTTTTCTAGGAAGCAGTTAGCTTAGTGGCCTTAGTTACTAGGCCCGACGCCTGGTTGGGCACCCTCAAGGGAACAAAATCATATGGCAGCCTTCAACATCTATAAGCATTCAACCCTTGGTATTTGGACTGTCCCTTTGCAGACCTTGCCGTGCTCTCAAACACCCCGCCTCTTGGGTTCAGTTCACGGCCAGGAGTATGACAAGGACGGTTACAGCATCGCCTGTGGCAGCCGGGGCAACTACCAGGGGATTCTCGCAGGCCGGCAGCCCAGCCGACGGGGCAGCGCCTGCGGGCGGAAGCCAAACAACGACGGGGCGGCGACGTGGGAGCGAACCGTGGGAGGGAGTAGAGGGAGGCAGGGCAGGACTACTCAGAGCAGCGAGAGACCATGAGGGACTAGGACCGGACCGGAGGTGTGGTGCAATTTGATGCCCTTGAGAGACATGCGAACTGGTTAGAACTGGTTTTAAGAGGTTGAGTTTTCAAGAAGGCTTTGCATGCTTCGGGGGCATGGGGCGAAGAGTGAATCAGTGTGCCAGTCAAGGACCTAAGGAGTTTCTTGGAGTATAATATATTGGGTTTCCGGGGCCTTCTTGTTTGAAGTGCCTTCAATCGCTAAGTTTGCTCAAGGAACCTCCTCATAGAACAGAGGAGGCTCTCACGAGTCAGTGCCTGAACCACCTACAGGGCGCACCTGTGTCCGCCCCTCTCGGAGATGGTGCCAGTTGATTCTCAATGACTAGACTAGAGCTTTTCCATGCCGGTCACGGCATCCACTCTTCCCCGTGTTGGGGTCGTCTTTTTGTTCTTCTGTTTTTCCGGCTTTTGTGCGAGGTTCTTTTCTGGTTGTTGTTTGTCATGGACCTGCTTTGCTCAGAGTTTCCAAGGGACTCACCGTGTTTTTTCAAGAAGCCTTGGAATCAAAGCAGCTCCTTGATTGTTTCTTCTCCTTCTTTACCGACCCTTGACGTACCATCGCTCGCAGGCCATGCCTACACCATCCTGCGGTTCTTGGACGTGGAAGTCACACGCAATGGCAAGAAAGAGACGCTGCTACTGATGCACGTGCGCAACCCTCATGCCACCAACGAGCTTCGGCGCGCAAGAAACGCTACGCTGAGCCCCAAAACCATGTGCACCAGCTGGGAGGGGTCAACATCGAAGGCGAGAGAGGATGGTTGGCTGCGGTTTTGCAGGATCGGGTTATTTCCAAATGGTGCCGAGGGGTGAGGTCCGATCTTCTGGGAAAATCTATGGATTTTTAAAGAAAATCCAAGTTGTGGTGTTTTCCGGTGTTGTCTGGTGTTTTAAGAAAATCTATTCTATGGTGCTTTCTGGCTCCTTAAGACAATCCAAGTGGTGGACTATAGTTGACTCATGCCGCCTTCAGCCCCTGAAGCGCGGTATTTTTCAGACACAAACATTGTCGGGGAGAAGATGGTCGATGTATGTGTATGGTCGATGTATATATGGAACCAAGAAGGGGAACGACTCTGGCGCATTCGCGTCCTACAATGACGTGTTCGATCTTGGTTGATGGGATGTGCAATAACTGCATTGCGTGTTTAGAAGGCAGTCTTTGGCAGTTACAAGTTACAAGTGTCATCTATTGCTCGTTTCTTTAGTCATGTTCATTTACAGGAGAATGCTGGTGCTTGTTTGGCAATAAGACTTGGGAAATCATATGGAATAAAACATCCCTATAGCCTATATTCTTGAATGGTCCAATTTGAGTCATCAACATCGACATTCTTTCTATTTCCGTTGAGCCACAGGTACGCAGAAAAAACACGTTTGGGGCAGTCTTGGGTCCTTTTCAGTGGGGGCCTGAGGAGTGGAAGGGCAAGTGGCGTGACGATGATAAGGAGATGCTTGGAGAGCGACAGTGTCGGGGTGGATGAGCACGTCGGCCTTTCGTGAGGCTTCGCACCGATCGCGCGAGATCGCGCGGCCTCTCGGGCGCCGACTCTTCAGTGACTCCGGGGATCTGAGATGAAAAGGGGAACCATTACTGTCCCCACGAGGTCAGGGAGTGGTTGGACGGGTCTCAACATATACAGTACACACACACACATCCGCCATCTCACTATGTCACTATCTATACTGTATACATGTTCCCTCAGTTTTCAGATGCTATGCTCTTATCAGGGTGGGGCAGGGTGGTGGCTAATGATGTTGTGGCTGTTGATGTGGAACCCTCCTGCTACGTAATTGGCTGGGCTTCGACCACTTGGCATGGATGCATCATGTTGCTCACATAATCATCCAATTCAGTCAGTGGATCACCTTTCACCTTTTGGTGGGGTTTCCGGGCTAACCACCAAACACGGTGGGAAAAGGTTAGCCACTGAAGGAGTCGAGTTTAACACCACCACTGAAGGTCAACACCTGCTTCACGTTTTCCAGGGAAACTGAAGCAGGTCGAGTCATTCATGTTCCGCATCACCGGCATAGGCTCCAATTCCCTTGTCCCCGCCTGTGGACTCCTAGGCCTAGGCCCTAGGCCCCTAAGGCTTGGACCGCCACGAATCGTCGGATTCCATGGGGCGATGGAAGGTGGCGGTCATGGGACCGGGAGAGGCCAAAGACCCTGCGGGCCATATGAGCTCCCGAGTAGTCTCTATTCTATTCTCTTCATGTCATTTTCGTCCACTCATTCGGTTCCTGGGTGAATGGAGCTAGTAGGTCACCCCATTTTTTGACTGTTTCACCCCCGGTCCGGCCGGGTGATCCGTCCACTAAGGACCTGGAATGCCTATCCTGAGGCGAGCAGGAAACGACTTCGATCCGATCAAACCGAAATCCCGCTCCCGCTCCGGAACGGCTGGGTGTTTCTCCGGCAGTTCGAGAACCCAAGAAGATGGGTAAGATTAGAGTAATTTATACCAGCACCCTGTTCGGGCCAGGCTGTTAGTTGAGGGTTGAGACGGACCCTGTCTCAGGTCGAACCATTGGTGACCTGTCGGAGGGTGCTGGTATATTGTTTCTACTAGCTTCTTGTTCCTAGTAAGGCCCTTGCTCCGTTCGTAGCGATGCCAGGAGCCCCGTTCGTAGCGTCCTTGTTCTTACCCATGGGTAAGCAAGGGGATCACAGATGTTGATCCCGCTTTTGGACTCCTGAGATAGGGGGTTCTCAAGGGGTAAGAAGATGGGTAAGACAGCTGCGAGTCATGTCTATGTTGCTGAGATGTGAAGCATTGAGACAACATGGTGCATGAACTGGAGCTTGCAAGAGGCAAGTCGCTTTCGCTTTCTGCTTCTGGTGGTAAATCTTTCAGCTCCACTTGTGGGGCCCCGGGGCCCCGGCCAGACCTTTCACTCTTCGGTCATGGGGCTCCTCAGCTTGGAGCGATCAAACGCCTTCCTCCGGCCCGAACACTCACTGCACACCGAAACGGTTCTCCGGCACCACGGTGCCTGCATCGCATTCTGCCCAAGCTCCCGTGCTCCTCGAGTGAGCGGAGTGAGGCGTTGAAGGCCACGGGGCACAAGATCCGAGTGAAGGACAATGGGGTCTTCTGGATGGACTTCGAGGAGCGAACAGCGGGTGTTTGAGGTGTGTGTTTGTGGCTCCCCCTCTAGGGCTTATAGGAAACCTAGAAGTAGAAGAGTCTGGGTGTGAGTCCACTTGATCATATCATAATATCATATGAGTTTTTGAGTTTTATTAAGCTTGATATTGTTTGATCATGTTTGGGGCTTTATCTTCAGATTCAATAGATGTTTGTTCGTATTTTTTTCAATCTGTCCCTGTTTGACCGCCCCTTTGCTACGTCTTCGGCCGCGTACAGTGCACGCGCGCAGACAACGAAGAGACCCCAGTCGTCGTCCGGTTTTTGTTCCGTGGCGAGCGGCGTTTCGGAGGACTTCAAGCACGGCTTCTCGGAGATCGCCGTTTGCTTCGACAAGAGGGACCCCGGAAGGCCGTTCGAAGCGTTTGGGGGGGCTCACTGTGGCCCACGGTGGGACGGGAGAGGTTTAGGTGGGAATGGTACGTTTCTTTTTGGGGGGAGTTCAGTGGGCGGGGGGGTCGATCTGGAAGTTTGGAAGGCTTTTGGATGCTTTTGGGTTACATGACCTGAAGATACCTGGTAGATTCCCGTGTCTGAGCCTTGTCCCTGTTTTCAATCTATTTGCTATGAGGTGAGCAGTACTCAGTACTGCCCTCCAAGCTAAGCTAGATATACCATGACATACCTGTAGACACTGGGTAGAACACCAAAAAGAAATACTCTCCCCAAATCAATGCTTTTCCCAACTATATAGATATACCTATATAGATACCTAGGCATACCTGTCCCCAACTCCACCTCAAGAGGCGTTACAAGGACACCAGCGCAGCGGCCGAGAAGGAGCATGGTGGTGACTTGGATGGGATAGGAATGGGGCAGCCGGGGCATGTTGACTTACCAACGGTTGGTTAGGCTGGGATAAGGCGAAGGACGCAGGGACTTTATATATATATATATACACCCTATAGGGATCTAGTCGTACCGAACCTCAGAAGGTACCACTGGACCTGACAATGGCACCTACATAACAGTTTGGAAAACAGAGAAGGTACTCGGATCCATGGATATGTCGGATATATCGTTTTTTTCTCCCAGGAAACTCACATGTGATGGGACTGTCTCATGCCGTGCCCTGTTTGAAAAGTGGCTCACCCGCAGTATGTCTCCAAGCTTTTTGACTCGCACGCGAACATCACCGAACATCGACCTGCTGATGCTTTTTTTGGGGTGGGATAGAAAACACGACGAACATGCGTCGCCCACACGCTGGCGTGGTTGCCTTACTTCATTGTCTGAGGCATCAACATGGGTCCCACAGGGCATCAGTCATGGGAAGGTTTGCGCTGAGAAGCCATTCAATCGTAAGCAAGATGCCAGGGGCGGAGGCCAAGATGCCAGGATTATCATCAGGATGAGGTGTGAGATGTGAGTGATAATGTGATACCATGTGATACCAATATTGTTTTCTCCCTTGAGAGTCGTCCGCCCCCACACAAACTAACGTTAAACATGTTACATATATTAAAACAGATGCTTTTATATTCAGTGTTGAGAAGTGGTTGTTGGGCATGGGTTTCTTTGTGATGAGTTTCCTGGGTATCTCATCAGAAGAAGAGCAATTCTTCGCACCTGGCATGAGCAACAGACCGTTGAGCGGTCCGTCCTGGTAGAAACATCAGAGAGGCCGGTGGGGCAAAGGCTGTTCTCGGCCTCTCCTGGTGTGCTGTTTTGGCCAATGAATGGCTTGCAGATGGTGTCAGAGCATCTCTGCGTGTACAGAAGCGGGGTCCCTTTTCCCTCGATGTAATTCCCTCCTGGTGGATGAGAGGCTTTCTCATGTGTTGAGCAACTGCCGCCAATCTGAACTTTGGTTGAAGAAGAAAACCTGCAGGGCCCGAACCTGCCAGGGGTCAGTGCTGTTTGCACAATGAGGTGACCACATAGAATCAGATAGAACCCTCCAGGCCTCGTTGATTCGTTGCGCGGTTGATGGCCTGAAACGGCCATGCCGCCACCTGGAACCGTCACAGCGAAAAGATGCGAAAAGCGGCTCACCGTTCAGCGAAGTCAGGCGATGTGAACTTAGTGGGGACATGTGGAAACACTATGTCACTATAGTATAGGTTCGGCGAAGAGCTCACAAGAACACCAGCAACAACCACAAAACAGAGTCTTTAGCTGCCCACTTCCCCACATCCGATGGTCCCGCTTCCCAACCACGACCACGCGCACCCGTGGAAGACTTGCGACGGTGTTCGGTCTCCCGTATACGGCTGCCCCACTTGCCCGGTGCTGCCCGCGGTTCCGCGGTTCCCCCAGGTCTCGGAGAGTGACGTCACGTCTCGCGGACCGGGCAGGAAGAGTGCGACGTTTTGCTGCTGGTCTTGTCCAAGTACACGGAGCCCATCAGTTTGTCAGACTTCCGTGCGGTGATGCTCGCCACGCTGAGGCGAACCGGGGGTGTCGTCGAAGAAGGGGCGAGCCACGGCGCGATGGAGTCCCGCGAGACCCCGAGAATCCGGAGGCTCCAAACAGCCTGCCTAGAATCCAGACTCCCTGGCCTGAGAGCTTAGCCTGGCTGGTTCCGGTCGCCGCACCACGAGCACCACGAGGTCCTTGGCGCCCAAAGATTGGGACACCGAGCACGAGGTGGCTTGGAACTGGCTTTGGGAGAATATTGAGCGCGTCCTGAAGGCAGGGCGCGGCCTGGCCTGTGGGGTGACTGGTTTCTTCTGCGGGGGCACCAGCGCCTTTCTAGGTTGGTAGAAAGAGATATAACGATGGCTGTTGTGACCGCTGTAATCAACACTCTTGGATACTTTTAAGGAGTCCCTTGAGGACCGAGCTTTTCCACTTGCGAGCGGGATGCAGGATACCTGATTTTGGAGGGAGGTCTCAGGCGCTCCCAGGTCTAACTTGGAGGTGCCCCAGCACTCACATCTCCACAATCATATGTCTTTCAATCAACAATCTACATGAATCTACATGCTCCATTCATCACTTTTTCATACGTTTTTGATGAATCACACTTCACTATAACTATTAATATGGCATTATATGGCCAATATCTTGAGCCATCATCCACTGGGTTACACGGTCGCAACACGTCAGACATCGAAGCGGCGACAGCTTGACATCGGCGCCGTCCAGACTGAGCCCGTCACGCCAGGGGCAGCTGGGAAAGCCCAAGGCACTGGAGCGTGCGCTGACGCACTTCATTGCCAGCTGGTCCGAGGACCAGGCCATGTTCTTCCGCAAGGCCCGGACGTTCAGCGTTCCACCGGGTGGTGCAGGAAGCAGTGGGCGGTAGTGGGCTTGAATCTCGGCCACTCCACTCCTTCGGTCTCAGGTGCCCCTCCTTCGTCCTGCACTTGGCAGGTGGTAAGAGTTTCTAGTTAATTAGTAATTGGAACATGTCCGTATATTTGGGGTTTGAACCTTGGGATCACCAAAGCCTCATGTGGCATTGGCTGTTGTCTACATCTGAACATCCGAGGCGCTCTCAGCCGTTCGCGGTTGCATTCATGAAGTGTTCAGCGGTTTGGTTGTTTGACCCAACCTTGACTGAAAATTCATTGTGACACGGCACCAAATCCATCAAATTTGTCACGTGCTTTAGGAGTTGTCACAGGGAACACGTGCACCCACATTGTGATAGAACTTGGGACAGTCCAAAGATGGAATTATCATTCCTGCTGGCGTTCCAATTGCATCATATTCCATCTACTTGTGACGGTGACATACAGTGATCCGTGTAACATACAGTGGCAGCTGACTTGTGTTCCTGGGCATTGGCAGATCTTGTTTTGTCTGCTCTCCACCGGCAGCGATTCGGACGTTCTCGCCAGGAGCTGTATAAGCGATTCTTTGCGTTCTCGCCATCGGGCCAAGACTTCTTCAAGCAATCTTCCACGCGCCTGCATCTCGCCGATGACACAAACACCAATCAACATGTGCGGGTTGTTTATTTGCCCTAAGTAGCTTCTTGTTACTAGTAGTAATAGGGAGACGCATGGGGGAACAATGACAATGCCTATAGATTCTTTGCATATCAATTCCCTAGTTCAGAGGACCATTCCAAGGTGCTTCGAGCAGTGTCGACTAACCTTACTTTCCAGGGATGAGACTTGGTCCATTGAAGCAGGAAAGGCGGGCCTTCCAAGCAGCCAAGGCAGAAAAGGCTACATGCTGCCAAGAACCATGTTGATTTGTCCTGAAATGGGGTGAAGCACCTGCATGATCCTGCATGAAGATATGGCTCAAACATGCCCAAACCTTCATTGAGATGCCTGCATGGCAAGGTATTTCCTGGCAGACCGCGTGGTTGAGATGACTGTCGAGATGTTCCGTGAGCCCAGAAAAATGGTGCAAGAGATCAGTGGCCTGGGTCTACGTCATGCCCTTTGGTCCAACATGGCATTCCTTTGTGAAGTGGCGCTTTGGACCCCTCAAAGCTCAGTGTTTTCACCGAAGAAGGCTGGATATCCGATCTCCAAGTACCTTTGCAGCTACATTTGAGGTCCCTCCTCAGCCCATCCAAAACACTCTGCACCTCACCGGAGAGAAACAAAAAACACACTCAGCTGATGTGAGCCCCCCCCCGTCGACGGGCTCACCTGACCGGTTGGGCGAGGTCGGCTGGGGCATCCCACCGGAGCTCTTTGGGCCCTACACCTCCGGCGCGGTGGAATCCGTGCGGTGCATGTGCCTTGGAAGCGAGGTGTTGAGGGCGGAAGAACAGTGATGGCGTGGGAAAAGGCAGAAGTCAAGACCTTGGAGGATGAACATGCTGCTATATATATATATATTATAATATAGATAAAATATAGATAGCCACGTCATAGATCGGTCTTCAGCTATGTTAATTTAGTTGTGCTTACATGAGTTCTTCGTTGGCCGACTTCCTTCCTTCCTCCCTTCCTCCCTTCCTTCGTGGTCCATGAACGGGGGGTGTTTGGGCGCCCTCGTCCCGTCTTGAGGACCACGGATGAGAACACACAGGCGGCCTTTCGCTTCTCCCTGTCCCTGATCGCCAAGATCCTGGCTCCTTGGAGCGCGGGGCGGGTGCAGCGGCGGTCCAGTCCACTCGGGGGGGTTCGGAAGTCGGTGACCACGTCACGAAGGCGCCGGGGACCTCCCGAGGTTGGGCTTTCGGTCATGATCCGAACGGAGGGCAGAGATGTGAAGCCCAAGACGAACAGGTATGTCCAAGTCGGGGGCGACCCGAGGAGAGCCGAGGCGTCGGCATTGGATTGAAGACTCCCTGAAATAACAATGAACAGGTCTAAACATTAGCATGAAATCATCTTGGAATAGGACAATTGCCCCTTAAATGACCATGTCCAGTTCCACGACCATTCCGGGGAGTCTACACTTTGACTCAGTGATTACCTGAATGGCATGGTCCCGAAAGGAAACGACCTTCCTTTACACAAAACAGGGGGATGCCCCCCCATCTCCATGGTCACCTCAGAGTAGCCCTCCCTCCATCGGAAGCTGACCAGGGCCACCCCCCCGTCTTGCAAGAGGCTCCAGGCGCTCCAAAAGGGAACCTGACGAGACCTCTCCCACGAGTCTAGGAGTCTTGGTCCGGAACCTGCCGATGTGGTCCATCCACGATCAAAAGATCAGAAACGAGTCCCGTCCTTTTGACCGTCATCCTATCGCCCAGACACTCCATCTGACTGGCATATACGCCTACCCCTGAAACTACCCCAATGTAGGCAAATATGGCAGTCCCATGGGTCGTGTCTGGGTAAAGATGCATTTGTTTCATCTTGGACTCCCAGGGCGTCAATCGATGTCAATGCTGCTCATGAGTTTACAGCCTTCAGCTTCACAGCCAGCTTGGGCGACCTGGACACCCAGTGTTCGCAGAAAAAGAACCCGTGGTACTTGGGACTCAAAGCAAACTGCCCCTGACCCTTTTGATCTTCCTGCTATAGTTCTGTATTGAGATGTTTCATCCCCGATTCTTCGGTGACGTCGCCGCTCCCCGCGGATGGAGAATGCACACCATCCATCCGACGGAACGACCCGGTTGCCTCAGCTGGTCCCCCAGACCTTCAAAAAGCCCGGCCCTGGGTCGTTTCTTCGTCCCAGGTGCGAGCGGTCACTGAAGGAGGTACTTTGGTCATGAGGGCCATCAACACCAACCAGGCAACGGTTGGAAGCGGTTGAGCCACTTCTGGTTCGTGGATTGAGATGTTGGCAACGCGGAGGCGTGCGAATTTGATAGACCTCAAAGAAATCCGCAGCGGCATGAGTATGGGCAAGGGTTCGTACGGAAGGTTCATGATTCATTTGGTTCATGAGATGTTCAGGTTCTACTCTGTGGCTGCGACATGCTGCGACAGTCAAAGACCTCCAACTCCAAAGTTTGCAGGTGATTCATGTCATTAGGTCGTTGTTTTCGACTTGAGTTTGCTCGAACCCCCCAGATGAAGTGGCGCTACAATCCAAATGGGTTATATATATATATATATATTATATATAGAATGATTCTTGTTCTTATCTATTACGTCCCCTATTACTCACCATTCGGATCCATTCGGTGCGATGGCATGGGTCACCATGGGCCATGGGTCGTTCTCACGCTCTAGGCTCGCACCAAAAAAGGTCGGGGTTTTGGGCGGTTGGAAGTGCGTTTTTTGGTACAGTTTTGGGATGTTTCGCTTTTATTCGTTTTTTTTAGTGCAGCATATCCCGTGGTGTTTTGAATCCACCAAGCCAAGTCGTACCTTGATCCTGGCGACCCCCAGGAGCTGGCCCTGAAGAAAGCCATTGCCATCGCCCCACGCGGCAAGCGTGCGATGGAATTGCTGAACATCTCTGTGGGTCGGGGGGGCCCCGGAAGCGGCCAACCGGCGAGCGGGGATGCGACTTCAGCGATCCTTTTGGCCTAACAAGGGCGGGAGCCTGGCGGCCTCTTCCAACAGCTGGTTGTGAGAATTACTTCCCAATTGCAATCCTTTCACAGAGATCAATTACTCTACTTGGACCAGGTGCTGTTCACACATCCTACTGCTATAGCGCCCAGGGGTTGAAAAGACGATTTGATACCCGCCAATGGCTCCCAATCAACCAATGGCTTCTCCCCGCAAGAAGTAGGAACAAATGGTGCATGGCGGCCCCAGGTACTCAGTCCATCTCGCCCTTGTTCTGGTCCATCGAGAGTGGATCCCTCAACAGTGCTCGAGCCATGATCGTGGACTTGCTCACCATTCGTGCAGACCGGGACGTCTACTACTACGGTTGCGTCCCTCGGCAATCAGGGGTTTCTCAAGCACTGCAGGCTCCTGAAATGACTGGTGCTGTGGTGACTGGCGGATGTCTCACAAGCCATAGTTTCGCTTTTTGTTGCCCAGCAGGCGGGCTATATATATATATACATATACATGTATAGTAGTAAGCTACTGTAATTTCACGATATGAACAGCCACCACTTGCAAGTCTGATGGGCTCAATGCGGTGAGTTTGCTAAGAGCTCCGTACACCCTCTGCACCCGAAAATGATAAACATGGAACCTGATGGAATGGACCTTTTCAGGTTGCATGTGGGTCTCTTCCAGGGTGTCTATATATATATACACAGACAGAGAGAGATTGTGGATGACTATGATGAAATGAGGTGTACACATTTTCTTGGCCATTTGGTGTTGTCCTTCGGGATCGAGAGCTGCAGGATGCGATGTTCACGCGACATCCTGATCTCATCCTTCGCCTGTGCAATGACGCTTCCACCCTTTTGTGGACCTTGTTCGATGGCTTGGTATGGAGGCTTGGTCCAGTCATCCCGCGAATGTGGGTGGAACTGGAAGCAACTGCTTCAATGGGGCTTTTGCAGGTTGAATAGGTTGTGACTTCCCCCATTCCGGCCACTTTGAGTGCCCAAATAGCCGTGAGTGAGTTGCATGAACTTCAAGTCCATGCCCTGAAGCCTTCAGAATGTGCTTGGAAAAGCCATAGCAAAAGGAGTTGCGCTAGATTCGCCACAGCTGAAGACAGTCCAAATATCCTTTGCACGACATGCCCTGATGGGTTTCGCTGCTCGCCGACATCGATGCTGATAGGTCCAGACTGGTGCAAGATGGCCAAAGACGGGTGAACTACTACATCAAGCCCAGGGCTTAGCCAAAAGGTATAGCATAGCCAAGTCAGACTTGCCGTAAATGATCATCCCAGCAGAGGTCTCAGCACTGCCAGCAGCTGTGGTCAATCTTTAGAGTAGCACCCAATTTTCCCTAACAAAGGCCAGCAGAGGTAAAGAAACCCATCTTCTTCTGCAAAATTCTGGAATGCATTGCAGCTGTGAAAGTCGCCGGAATAGTGAGACACTGCACCGTCTGAGACACCGCAGCGAACGCTTTTCGGTTCCGCGGGCTCCGCGAAACGCAGCGTGACCGAGGCATTTGGTGCAAGACTTGGAAGGAAATCTGAGTCCTGCACTGAAGTGGCTGGCGCATCACAAGGTGGGCAGGAATTAGATGGAATTAATGTGAGTTCCAAATATTACCAGCTGGTCGCGGTGACATGTCTTTTATGCCTGGATTAGACGTTCTTGAGAACGCCATAATTAAACAATATCATCAAGATCTTAGCCTTATTTGCCAGTAGAATTCATGGACAAAGATGGAACACGTCTCAATCATTTCGAGTGGTTGTCCAACCTCCAAATTTCCACAGATTCGGTTGATATGCATGTCTTCTCCATCAAAAGCCTGGTAGGATGCTGTGAGATTCTCCGTCAAATTTGGTTTCTTAAGTTTGTCGCCCTCCCGAAACACATCGAAAAAAAAAACACTGCTTTTCTACAGGAAGCCCATGTCCATCCATGATGCGGGCGTTGGCAGGATCCTCGGCTGGTGAGCCATGGTGTTGTGATGACCTTTGCAGATTTGCTGTGGAACCGCGTGGCCTCATACCAGTTCTTGCTGGGGCGAGGCGAGCTTCCCGTGTGGGCGCGGAGGGCTGAGTCGATGCATTTTCGTTTGGGTGGACGGGGTGTGGCCGCTGAACATGGATTGGATCTACCGACGTCTAAGCCCTTTAAAAGAAAGAAGCTGTGTGTGTGTGGCACTGGGCGTTGGTCTTTGCATGCTTGGACTGGAGAAGACCGTGCATTTCCTTGTCAGGCTATTTCCTGTTTACATTGCTGATCTTTATCACCAGCCAGTCCCTCTTGGTTCCTGGCGCCACTCGGTATGGATCTTCGCACCCGCTAGCAGTGCCCAGCAGCCCAGCGATCCCTTCTCGAAGTGACCGTGACCATGAGTCCAGACCCTTGTTGACAGAGCTCACGGCACCTGGCACCTGTTCATAAACTGACCTGCCTGTTCAAACTGCCATCAGTTTCCTGGAAGAGACTCGTAAAAACCTGAAAACAGTCCCATTTTCGGTCAGTCCCTCTCTGGCCTGAGGAGGAGGCCCTTTGGCGGAACATCACCACTTTTGTGTGTCGATGCTTTCTATACTTGGGCCTCTTGGATTGCATTTTGTGCCACCTCGGCCGACCCCGCCGCCCTCGCATCGCGCGGTGTGAGTCGAAAAACACTCTTCGGACCGGCACGGGTGGAGTCGAGCCGTTCTCGAACCCGAGGAAGCATGAGCAAGCTGTTGTTCGACCAGTGTAAGCTTTCGTGCAGCGCCTTCAAGGCGCGGAGGACGAGACCGGGTCGGCGAGACCCCTCCGCGAGACCTCATGGATCGGAGGGGAGAGAACGCGGCCATGAGGTGAGAATGGTGGGCGTCTGTGCAGGGTGAAGAAGGAGGAACATGGGCACCATGAACCACACAGAAAGGTTCTGATACTTGCAGTAAATTGATGTAAATCGGGGGCCAGTATGACCAGCGACTATCGGACATCCCTGAAGTGACCCATTCCCTGCGTCCGCGGTCTTGGTCCACATTTCTCCTAAAGAACTTACCTCATATGGGTTTTTAAAAAACCATAGACCATATAAACATCTTCATTATGGGCCGTCACATGAGTCAAGAGTTTCATGAGTCTTCCTACCATTTCGTTCCTCAAATCGTCTACATTCTCTTTTTCACCCGCATCGGAGCGCAGCCGGGCGCAGCGGGTCCGCGGCGGACGCCTGGCTCCAGGCGGGCGAATACCAGTGGTATTGGCTACTTCCGGTGCCCAACTACCTCCACAGCACACAGCAGGCCTTTTGAGGGGGAGAGGCCTCTGGGGGTGAGTTCGGGGGGCTGGCCCAGGCGATGAAATGGAGATGGACACCCCAAAGGGGCAGCCCTGAGACACTGGCTTATATGGTTCAGAGTACGACGTTGGCCACCCATTTTTGAGAGGTGAGCAGAGCTTTGTGGTTTCCCTGGTGAGCAGAGCGTCTCTTCGGAGGGAGTCCTTCTGCGAGTGGCCGTGTGGTTGGCCCCAACAGTCACAATGCATTGGGCAGTTGGCTTGTCTCAAGAGACTGGGCGGAGCGACAAGCGTTGCAGTCACCTGCTTGTCCTTTGGCACTCCCACAGAACCTTGTAGACACCACCTCGTTCAAGCCGACGATATACTGCCACGCATGGGCCAAGCTGTCAGGCCGGCAGCCTCCTGTTGGTGTTGCTCCTGATTCTGATGCTTCTCAGCCGGAAAATTTGGAACGTCGTCTCTCCTTGCGGGATGGGTCGATTCAACGACCTTCTAGGTCCACCGGTCGCGGATTTGACCCACAGCCACATGGGTGGAGTACGACCGTTCGCCAATTCCTACAGCTGAGAGACTTCTGATGATTTCTGATGATTTTGGGACGGGACGCGTGGGGGTTCCACTTTAATGGCGTACGGTCCGAATGAGAATTGGACAGTCTGCCGACCGAGTCTTGAACATTGCCGACCGACTTTTTGTGACCGACCGATCGCCCGAGTGGGCCACAAACCGGCCGATCTGAGCCCCAATTGAGCAATAGAATTTAATGAGCATTGGCTAGGTCTGTTGACTGGATTCACCATGCCCAGTCGGCATTTCCACGCGTTTCGTGGTCCAGCAACGAGCGGGAGGGCGCAGCGAAGATGCAGCATGCTCAGGTATGCTCACGTAGCACTTGATGGGCGCTCAACCATGGTACCCCCACTAAAACCTGCTGGTTCCTTGGTACATCCATATCACATGGGAGCTTGTCCCTGGAAAGTAGCCAGCAGTGCTTTATATAAGAGGAGTGGGTGCCTCTTTGTTTGGCAAAGTGTGCGCTGCGCATCCACGAACGTCCCCTCTCATCATGTTTGTGGTAAAGCTCTAATTCGACATAGACAAATTGTTTGAGCAGCTACCACGGCTCAGAAGATCTGGAAAGGCTGGCCAGACAACTAGAGCGTGTAGAGTGTAGAGTCTAGAGAAACATGTTTTGCAGATTTTCCCGCATTTGCGAGGGTGATGCCGAGAGCCAACATGACAGCAGACACCTTCCCAGGAATCTCGGTTCCCCAGCCGACCCGGAACAATTGTGGACGACAGAGGGAGTTGGTCATGGCGACGGCCCGAGGTACATTCAAGAGCCAATCTTGTGGTGCATCTCTTTTGGCACTCCCGACGAGGAAGGAATGATTTTCACCACCACCTGCCACTCGCCGAGAACATGTCTTAGCTCTGACAACCTGACCGCTACCAGGGAAACGTACATGCCTGGAAGACTTCTCATCCTAACTATTCCTATCATTCAAAACGAGGATCTGTGAGGCTTTGGTTCAACTAGTTTGAAGGCTGGTACGCTCAGGAGCCATCAAGCTGCATGAGGCGTACTACGGTACGAAACGGTCATTTTCACCGATCAACGGAGGCATCGTTGGTCGTTTGGGACCTCTAGAGACTATAGCCGGTTCGATCCTCACAGAGACTAGCTGTCTCCAGTGTGCAGAGATGAATGAGATCTAAGAAGCATGTGCTACTTGTTCGAAACACTGGCATACAGGGTACAAGAAGCAGTGGTCGCGATGTACAGAGCACCACAATAGAGATCAGAGTGGACAAAGATGAAACTTACAATTTGACAGCTGAATATGACAGGATTGGTGTGCCAATGTCCATACCTTTTTTTTGCTTTAATTGAAAGGTGGAAGGCATTGTATTTGTATGAGTAGTAGCTTGTCTCTAAACATAAAGCGGGTTTGTGTCAACTTCATTCAACTTGTAACGACCAGCCTACCCTTCTGCAGCACCCAGAAACAGAGTTTATTTTTCTCGTCTAGCCTTTGTCCAACCACGAGCTCCTTGCCCCTTTAACATCGCAACGTTTTTCGTGGAGCACCGCAGCCGCAACCAGGTCCTGAAGCTCAAGGGGTGATGACCGCCTACACCGTCTTCTCTTGCACCTGGGCTTGGGAGAGCACACCGCCACCCGCCACCAGGATCCATCTGGAGCCATGACCTGGCATTGCAACTGTCGGCGCTGGATGCAGATGCATCCAGATGCCATCCTGGCCTGAAGAGTTCACCATTATATACATAGAGATACCATGAGATACCATGTTAACTACGTTGTTCTTCCAGGACGGTTTGCCCCGGTGTGATTTCAGAAGGATGTTTGATGTTGAAGGTGTCTCAAAGAGATGGTCTCAAGAAAAAACGTTGTTCAACGAGGTGTGAGTTGTGGGTGAATATTGGAATTATTGGACTGCCTCATGTCAGAAACGGTCGCACCCTTCTTGGCCATTCCGACCTGCCCGTGCCATCACTTCCGGTGCACTTGGGCTCAAGCGATGAAGTTTTTGAACATGGCTGAGCTGCCCATGACCAGCTAAGCTGCGATGGGCCAGTCAGCTGGATGTTGCCAAACAGGTGGGGTGCGACCGCATCGGTCCGGATCGGTCGGACCGTCATCTTAAGTGAGGGATGTGGACGGCGGTATCTTTTTTCCTCTGGTTTCTTCCTGAACGAGTCACACACACACCAAAGAAAACATCCTCCAGCGCATTCCAGCGCCAAAAACAGTTTTTTTTCTCAACGGTGAAGCTTTAGGGGTCTTCAGCTATAGTATAGACTTCGGAGCAGATCGGAGCAAGCGCCGGAGCTGGTTCCGGAGCAGGGTCTGGCGGAGGTTCCGGAGCTCTGGAGGAGGTTCCGGAGCACAGAGTGTTGAGCGCACATAGGGTCGAAACATCATGACGCATGGTATTCCACTCAAATCATGGTGGCGCTTTTGTAACATTATTTTTTGTATTTGTTTAAAGCTGGTTTTTGCGAAGATCAGATGATGTTCTGCAAGTCGTTCCGCAGCAGTGCGGCCATGAGTTCGGTGGTGCTGGGGTTTAGATTTTTTTGGATGTGAGCCCGAGTTGAATAGGTAGGCTGTTCATCAGAATGAAGCTTGATGGGTTGTGACATGTTGTGACAAGAACACACAATGTTTCTAGCTGTTCGGGGCTTTCCTTGGGTTCTTTTAAGTCCAATGATGGGGATTTTTTTTGAAACGTTGTTCAAACGTCAGAGGAAAAAGAAGATACACAAATAATTGCATTTGGGCTTCCCTTCACGCTCCAGGCAAACCAGCGGCCGAGACGGCCGAGACCATCCGTGCTGCTCCGGAGCGCGGAAACGTGGCGGAGGAGGCGCCCGAGGCACCAGACTGTGACGGAAACGTGGCGGAGCTGGAACTGGAGCCGGTGGGGATCCTACAGAGAAGCAGAACCCTAGAGGCCTGGGATTTGGAGCTGGCTGCGCTGGTGTGCTTTTGAGACACATAATGATGGTACGGTGATGGCATGTTATACATATCAAAGGACTTGGTTGAAGGATGATGTTGAGGGGTTGTTTTTTGGAGGTGGTAGAAATTGGTTATACCGTGTTATACCAAGTTGTTCGCATGGATCATCATAGATTATGCGCGTGTATATGGCGTGGTCAATGAGATGTGCAGGAATGTTGTGCCAAAATCAGACCAGAGGAATGTCAGGCCACTATAATTTTTCACCTCTCTTTGAACTCACTGCACATCAAAAAACGAATAGATCGTCACGCCGCCCATTTGTTTTCTTTCCCACTGATTGAGTGATTCAGCTGGGTGGCAGAAAATACACCTAAAAGACAACAGCCGAACTTTCTGGCAGTTTGGTTCTTCAATGCGCTTTCGAGTTCCAAAGAGGGTTTGTTCGCGGGCGAACGGCAAGACACGGGGCAAAAACTGTGACCACTTTGAAGAACTGGTAGTTTGAGACATGCATGATTTCTCTAAAAACACCCATCTCATTTCTCACCGCCCGATCTCACATCAAATAGCTTGCCAGTGGAGAAAGGAACAATGCATTCCAGAGATCCATGGCTCTTGGTCGCACCTTCTCGAAGGGGTCCCCTCCCAACGGTCCCTCCCACAACGAGTCCCTGACCAGCGGCAACCGGACTCGCAGTTGCGCTACGGCTCCATATTCCGCGCGTGCGGGCGCGGAGCGAGGTGGACCGGGAGATCATGCGCGGCATTACAATGCGTAAGACCTTGCGTCACGCCTGGGTGTGGTGGCAATCGCCGCTGGACCTGGAGCCAAGCCAAAGGGACGCTTAGACGAGTGGTTTAACAACATGCCGATGATGCGGTGATTTTGGTGCTTGCTTGGGATCATGGTGCATACGGATGGGACTGGGGGTCAGCTCACTTGACATGATCATTAAAGAAACATTGGAGACGGACTATATAGAGTCTTTTGGAGTTATATAAGGCCCAGTGGGGTGCCCTAGGAGTCTTTTGGTTGGATGTTGCGGGTGGGAATTCTGGTGAAGTTTTCTTGTCTAATTACATCTATAATTACTAGACCTTAATGGTGTCAGCTTATGAATCCATGCAGTCAGGAAGGTTTGTGGAAGAAATCAACGCCCGTTTCTGGCTTCGACATTTTCTTGTCTCATACTTGGTTGACCTTGGGGCTTTCCAAGTTTCTGGCAATTCTGCTCCAAACTGCTTGGAAGTGGGCGATGATGGCTTGGTTCCTGACCATGACCCTCCTCATCCTTCTCTACGTCGAGAGCCTCATCCCCATGTCTAGTCGCTATGTGCTGCCCAGCGAGATCCAGCCAGATGTCACGCTGCCCCGAGGGCTTTGGATGACTGTCGCCAGCTTGCCCTCGTTGTTGCTTGGGCTGGTTTTGGCGGTGTACATCCCGGAGTGGGTCTCATCCTCACCCACCTGCTTTCTAGATGCAGTCAGTATAAACCAAGCTGACCAAGCTCTGATGCAGCAGGGTGTCTATGGGCTTGGCGGTTTCTTGAAGGCCTCCAAGGAGTTGCGGATCTTGTGGTCAAGTCCGTATTTTTTGAGACTTTGGTGCGTTTTTGTCACCGGGCAAAGAGGAAATAGTATATTTATTTTTTGTTGCTGCTATGGTGACCCTGCGCGGACGGTAGAGGAATCCCCATACTTGGACTTGACTCACACCGTAAATCGCAGATAGTTGCAGTATGACATGGGTTGTGCAGGTTCACCATCCTCGATGGTCCTTTTGCCGACGCAACGGTCGCGCATGGAAGGAACCGTCGCTCGCTCGGCGGTAAGGAATTGGCGGCCTACCGCACCGCCAACCCCGGCGGGAAAGTCACGCCGCTGGGATGCAGAGAGGTGTCGTTGAGGGGCCGGAAGAGTGGCAAGGGTGCCAAATCCAGGGTTCACAGTCCACAGATTAAATAGACCCCTAAATTTAGAAAAGTATATAGTCCCCTTCAAAACGTATTGGACACCGTTTCTATCATTTGGGGGCCAGATTTATTTTATATTTTGTATTATGTTGAGTATGGATGGTCGGGCCATGGGCATGGGGCGTGGGCAGGTTTCCACTTCCAGGCCCAGGTCATGCCACGTGCCTTTTGTATCCCTTTACTTACAAAATCTATTTTCCCTAGCATGTCTAGGGGCCTCAGTTTGTTAGGGGCACACAAGCTCGCACCTTTGAAGTGTGGAGGCGACGAGTATAGTGACATGTGGACATGTGGTGACATGTGGTGCTTTGTGGGCGGACCAGAAGGGCTTAAAACCTGAGAGATGCACCGCCGCAGGCTTGCTCCGCTCTTCGTCGAGATGGCTGTGGCCGTGTACCTGATTGGTTATTATCTCACTTGCCTTGTTTTTGTCATCGATCTTGAAGCCTACTTGGCAGTGTCACTGCTCTCGCAGCTGGCCTTGAGCTTTCTTCTGGTGTGCTTTTTGCGGCGGAGCTTAGTGGCAAAGCGAATCTGGGCAGCGGTTTGGAATATATATATATAATTATCATCATATGCACGGTATTGTACAGTCGTAGTTATAATAGTTGCCAATATTGACTGTGAATTGTATGTAACGGTACGTAAAAACATACACAATCATGCACATACTTTTGATGTAATTTGTGAGATGCCTTTTTCATCACCAACCAGGAAAGTTGTTCAGAGACCTCGACACATTTGACGTCGATTTGGCGCAGTGTCGCCTGCAATATGACCGAGACTTTGTTTTCAATGCCATCACCGAGTGGTTCGGGAGCAAGGAGGCTTTCACTGAATATGTGCGAGCTCATCTAGGCGAAGCTGCAATGTCGGCATTCTCTGCTTCCACCATCCCACTCCAATATCACATTTTGCTTGTAACATCAGAGGTGAGCTTGAACTTGGATAACTTCATGGCGCTTTGGAAGGGGGGCATGCCTTCAGAAGTGCTATGTTCGCATTTTCTAGCTTTGGTCCTTGGGTATGCAGTGTGCTGGCGCATCGTGTATTTGAGCCTGGCGGTGTACCTGTGCGACCTCGTGTCCCACCACTGTGGCCGCAGCTCTGTCTGATTTCATAGGTTTGTGGGTCTTGGAAAGCTCAGCTGGTCACAACTGGTCACACTGCATGAGCAGGAAATGCCTCTTTTCGGGGTCGAAAGCTTCCCTTCCCCTTTTGAACATGTTGGGAGGTATCAACCATTTCAGATCCCCCTTCATATGCAATTGTTGTCACCTGTCTATGCTTATTTTCACAGCGAATGTTCTCATGCTCTACTGTGTAACCCTTGCTGGGTTCTGTTTTTGCTGAACCTGGCAGCCTAGGGAAGTGTGCCATGATCATGTTCGACTTCCTCATTTTCCTCACCGTGAACCTTTGTTTGGTCGGTGGCCTTTTTCTGGCCCGAGCCGCCTATGGTCAAGGGACCTTGGCCGCCTCTGCGTGGTTGGCTTTTGCGGGCCTCCTCGCTCTCATTTCCCAGCTGCCTCGACGGAGGTCGCCCCGGAGTTGACGAAAAAGCAAAGGGCTGTGGAGGTGGAGGTCCAGATGTAGTATACTGCTTGGAACAAACATCGAAGTGCAAAACCCCACGTTTGCAGAGGAAAATTGTCTTCCAAGGGACCATTTTCCACTGTCAGTTCCAGGGAGAGTAGTAGGACGATGTTTCTCGATCGAAATGCACCGAACGGTGATCTCTGCAGTGCGCTCCTTCTCCTGGACAACGATCGCATCCGCACTGTTGACAGTCATCATCGAAACCAAACAGGACACCCCTCCATCTCAGTGAATGACTCAAGGAGAAGGCTCAAGAGATGTCACCGTGCCGGTGGTGCCTGCTTCGGTTCGCGGGCGCTGAGCGACGTGCTTAGCTAGCGGGTATAGACGATGGCTTGGCTTGCAGGCAAACAAGCACCGCCACTAAGCGGATTCGGATGATTCGGTGGGTTCAACAACAACTGCCAAGGAACAACCACCGAAGCTGTGCTCACATGGAGTCCCCTGCTCCCACACCAGAGCTGCGAATCATGCATTTAAGGCATGGCCATGCTCATTTATTGGGCGCTTTTAATGGACTTCACCTTGTTGTCCATGCGGATCTCCGCCTTTGTTTTGGCCGGGGGCCTCAGTATAGGGCCTAGGGGGATTGCTGGTGTCTCACGTCACTCAGTTATATAAAGGTCGGTCTTGAAGATGAGGGCTTTCGGATGGAAAGTGCAAGTCATCGTCCTCATCATCACGTACTACAGTCACCATGGGCGCGACCTAAGGACCTGCAGCCTACTCAGTCAGTGGATAACCTTTATATAAACCTTTTTCGGGGGGGATTGGTTTGCCCACTGAAGATGAACAGATGGAGAGTTCGGTTAACCAATGTGGACCCTAATGTTCCAGCCGGATGTCCGAATGGCAGGTTGGAGTCTACCTTCATCTCTAGGTAACTGGATGGTACCTGAAGGGCGTGTCGATCAGCGTTGGTTGAAGACTTCTCCAAGTGTTTCAATGGGAGGTATGCCAAGCTAGCACAAGGCGGATTTGATGGGAACCAGCCATGCAACTTGCAAGATCTTACAACTCACCACCAGCACCAGCAGCGGTATCATCAGTAATTTCCCACTGCTAGATGGGTGTTGAATAGAGCCGCATCGTATCAAATCGTCATCCATTTGAAGGTCTCGGAGCCGTCAAAAGCTGCGCTTTTGTCATGGGACCAACTAGTCCTCAGAATTCCTGTTGGCTTTGCTGGGAAACGGACAATCCTGGTGGGCGCCGCTCCGTACATGTGGGGGCTGAGCGTCCCTTGTTCTTGCGCGCGTGCGCGTGTGACGCGAGGTCTGTGGCAACGTACTGGCAGATGTGGGGCTTTTCTGCCTCGCTCTCGTCTTCTTGATCCTGATGTTTGCCACGGCCATCAGCGCCTTGGAACCGCCGGTGGGGCCCCGGTCGACGAACTACCATCAGAGGAGAGCCATGTGGTAGAGTCTAGAGGGATGTGTTTGATGTTTGGTTTTTCAAGCGAGAGTTTGTGTCACAAGCCGGCGCAGGCAGATGCACTAAGAAAAGCCTGGCTATGCGGCTATACGAGAAATGCCACTGGTGATCTAACCTGGGTTCATCTTCATCCTGGATCCAGAGCCACACGCTGTTCCGTGTGGTGGTTTCAGATACTGTAGGTTCATGTTCAGCCTGTACTTGGGTTCATCCCCCATTGACTAATATCTTTTGTTCGTGAATTGAACACACCAACCAGTGTTCAGGCCATGTTCCATCAACGTGCTAAGGCCGTCCCAAGGCATTTTACAGACGTCCTAACCGCATGCGGTTGTTATATCATGAATAATATCAGACACTGCAGCCTTCTCCCGAACTCACAGGGGGATATTATATTCTATATATATTTTTTATATCATATTGTACCGTATCCCTGTTATATCATGAAGAGCCCGAAGTTGTCCCTTTTGCGGTGCGATGTAGAGTTTGGGTCTGAGTCTGCGTGGATGTAGTTACCCAGACATCCCGTGCCGCCGACCGGGCCCAACATTCATCGGGGCAAGAGAGGCGCAGCGTTGTGACTCACTCGTTGCGAGAGAAGGCAATTCGTTGCTGGAACTAACTAGGGAGACCTCCCCAAAAGCGGAAGAAGGGAAATAAGCCAAAAGCCATTAGTTGGGGGGGGCCCTATTGAAATACACCCGCATTTGGGTCCTCCCTCCACAGGGTGGTTGCCGCTTCGGGATCACCTGTGAAGTCCGGACTCAGCACGTCTTGGGACCCGGTGTGACACTCTCTGAACTAATCAATCATGGAAGTGGATGGGTCAGGCCATGACCGTTTCTTTATTTGTGTTCGAAGACCCAACCGTTTTTTTGAATAGTTTTTTTTTCACAGTTCCATGACTCTTCCGGGGAGTGTAGTTGGTCAATTTACCAGGGGGGGTTCCTACTGGGAGGCCCTTGGCCCTTAAGACAACCCAAGGGACCTCCTTTTGGGAAGGAGGTCCCAACAGAGTTGGAGGTCTCTCTAGTCCAATGCATGCATCATGCCACTTTCATGAACCTTCACCGCCGTTGAGCCTTTTGCTTTCCAAGAGGTCTTGGATCTTGTTCAATCTCTCAATGCCCAACGCTTTTTGCGAACATCAGGCCCCAAAGAACCGAAAGAACGCCCCTCCAAGACGTTGGGTTTGACATTCAAGTGTTATATAACTATTTCCACAAATGGGGTTGCCAAAACTATCCCCAACGCTCCACGCAGGTGTGGAAATATGACCACCTATTAAAACCACCGAAATCTTGGTAAATATTTAAATATTGCATACATGGAGTGGATGTATGTGCATGTTTGAATCCTTTGGATCTTTTTGTGGCAAACCCGTGGCACAAAGTACCTCGCACAGGCACAGAAACTGTTTCCATTGGTGCTAGCCTAGTAGTTGGTTTGTCTCTTTGACTCAACTGTAGCTACTATATACAATAATTTAAGGCAGAGGCAAAAGAGTTAGCTACAGGTCTTGGTCATCTACTGGTGCCCTTGGCCGTAGTGGCCCTGACCCTCAGTTCTGAAAACTGACAGAGGTTTGCAAGGAAAATCACCCACCCTTCTTCCACCACACGTTTCATGTTCCAACCTCCGGGCTGCCCTTCTTCCGCCTCATTGTCCCGGCACGCCTCGGCCCACTGGTACTAACCTCCCGCCCCGGCCCGCGGGAACGGCGACCGAGGCTCTTTGAATCATCACGTGGTCGGCTTTGATGGTGTTGGCCCATGGCTCGTGGGCTTGTTGCGTCTTGGCGAACGCGGACGGGAACGGGCGCACGCGTGGGGAGGGCTTCGGACGACTGTTGACGAGCGGAGGGGTGGTGTGGAGGATTTACGGTGTAAAACGTGGGTGGAAAACAGATTTATGGTTGTTTTCTATACCTGCCTATTTGTTCAACCTTACTTTGGGATGATTTTACCCACTGACCCATCTATATACTCCATTGTGAGTCCAAAACCACCAACCAGGTAGTATCATTCGATATCATTCGGGTGGGGGCGGCCAGAAACCGGGGTTCCGCTTCGCTTGCCATGTCAAAAAGCCGCAGAATTCGCATGTTGAGAGTGAAGATGACCGGTGTGTGAATGCATCGGAGGCTTGGCTTTCCTCCGCCGTTGTCTCATTCCATGGACTGAAAGCTAAAGGTCCCCAGGTTTGGATGGTCAGGACTAATCACAAATCACTCATAGATGATGTCAGCCCTTTGCATAGAGGATTTCAATGGATTTCGGGAGGATGCTTGGGTTGGCTGGCGTTTGGGGATCAGAACAGCTACCTGAGAAGATGGGACTTGACCTTGCCACACACTGGGAGTTGGTTCTTTCATGATCCGAGCCAGAGGTCCAGGATGTGCCAGGGTCAGACTGGTCTTATTCTGCGTTCGTAGGTCCAGGTTGGTCCAGCTATAGTTGTTTTTTCACATTTGTACAGCCCAAGATCTGAAACTTCCCAAGAACAAAGCCCAGAGGTCCGCAGAACATGATCAGATCCAACTTGAATGTTCACCTGGTGGTGACTGGCACCCTCAGCGACTCCAAGTAGATCCTCTAACAAAAATCCTCCAGCACCCCTGAAAAGAACACGGTGATGTCCCTGTGACTTGCCATTTGATTTGCAGATTCGGGTGCTCCTTTTATTTTGGACAGTGGACTTCATTTCAAGTGGCCACACGAGCGGTTCGCGCGACACCCCTGCAGGCTATAGTGGCCACGTGGCCCAGTCAAAGGAGTCGACATGACTGCCACAGTGTGGACGAGGTTTTACCATCCAAGTGTTTAAAGCACACACACAGATAATTCACACACACAGATATATATATATATATATATCCAAAGGAGTCTACATTACTTGAGAGCATCCGTAGCTGGTCTATTTTTCATTATTTTTGCCAGATTTTTCGGAGCCCGAGCGCTGAGGCAGATCACATTGGGCATGTTCCCACCCACCAAGTACGAAGAGTTCAGGAGAAGACGGGAGCTGCCTGGAAATACTCTTTAGGCGCCCCCCTACGTATTGTACGTGTTGATACTGTAGCTAAAACCATGCTTGATCACCGGTGACCTGGGCATTGGACTGCAACGCACGGTGGCCAGAATCATTGGCTCGACAATGAATTGAGAGCCATACATTCCCTGGAACTAACATGGAAGTGATTGGAAGTGGACAAGGGCCCCTTGGAAGACCATTTTCCTCTCTGATGCTTTGTGTTTGGGGTCTCAGACATGCTCCACTGGTCCAACATGTCCAACGGCGGAGGGGGACAGAGCTAGAATCCATGCGAACCTCCGGGGGTTCGCCGCAGGAGGTGCGAGGGCCGCGAGGGAGGGTCTTTACAGCCAAACGCTCTTGTTTGAGGAAGACGGCCACTTGGGCCGCCCTGGGTCAGCACTGTGCAGAGCAGCCTGCCTGAGCGGTTTTCCAGGCTGCAAGCAAATCCTCAATGTAGAATGATGTAGATTCCGCTCTTTGAGGAAGCTTTGGGCCCTCCGACCTCACCGCTTTGACGCATCGCTGGGATATGCCACCAGCACGCGTGCATGGCATAGTTGGGGAGGTCATGGGATCACCGCGCCCACCGAGAAACTCGGCTTCACCTGTCCGCCCCCTGACGACCACGGCAGGAGCGATACTCCCGTGCTGATCGCCGTCTCGGTCTTCGTGGCCGCCGCTCGGCGGCGTGGTGTTCACCCACGTGCGACGGAGCGGCACGGGACGTTCCTCTAGTGGATGGAAGGTTTTTGGTCACGCACTGCCTGATGTTCAACAGGTTGGTGTGACAAAACAAGGGGGTTGGAGTTGAAGATGGAGTTTTGTGAGAGTTCTAACATCTGAGTCAGAGGACGGCGGGTGGAGAACCTCCATGGTCGGCCGGTCTCCACCGATATTCACCTGAGACACCACAGACCAGAGGACCAGAAAACGTGTTCCGAACGGTGGAACAGAACAGGACCATGAAGCGGGACCATGAAGCCGTATAGTATATTTTAATTTGGAGGTTCTTTGGGAGGTGAAGGGGTGTGTGCAAAATCAAGATGATATATTTACGTGTGTGCTCTCAGGCGCTGTTTTGGTTCAAGGAGCCGACACCCCACGCGTGTGAGTGTTCCACTCGTTGCTCAGCCGCCATCCATGGCGCCGGGTGAGGGTCTCGTCTCTTTGGCAGCACCACGGAAGCCAGAAGACGTCCTGGCGGAGGAAGACGTCCTGGCGGACGAGCTGACGGACGATCTTCCCAAGACGCCCAGAAGCTCTTTTAACACCTGGAAGCACACGGACCTGCCGAAGGGAATGCCGAGTCCGCCAAGCTTCCGAGCACATGCTCAACATGTGGAGAATTTGGAGGAGTTCTTGGAGGCAGTGGAAGATGCTCCCAACAGGCTGGTGAGTTGGGTGAAGCGAAGCCGCCAGGAGAGGCTGAAGGACTTGGGATGGACGCGATGAGAGGTGTCATGCCAGCAGTGCTTTCCGCCAAATCCCAGGTCCCAAAATGCGATCCCACCGGGTGGCGACGTGGCACTGGCCCTTCGATGTTTAAATATGGCTAAGATGGCAAGACGGTGAGCGTTGCAGACGGCAGATGACCACTGTCTTGTAGTAGCTTGCGAACGGGCCGTGATTTGCTGTGTTTCAAGTGTAGTTTGATACTCAAGTTTAGGAGTGGTGATCCGGAGATCGTCATCCTTCAAGGATGTTGTCTTCCTTACTAGGCCTTTCGTAGGACGACATTTGCTCTTAGACGCTTTTATCGTAGGATGTGACGGGCCTTTTCATTCTGCAATTGTCAAGAATTCCAAAGGGGTAGTCTTGAGCCTCTAAACGAGTGCATACTGGGCGCCCATCCAGCAGGCACCCCTTTGGAACTGCTTGTGTATTTTACAATATATATATTTATATTATATATATGTGTGTATATGATGTATATTCTTGGGATCACGTCTCAAATTCTGCTCCGTTCTAATCCAGACACGGTGCAGTCGGCAGTTTTGGGCCTGCCGGTGTGCTACTTTGGCATGCTCTACTGTGTGCGAGACGTTACCAGATGCAAGTTTTGGCTTGCACTTAGTCTTGCGAAAAAGGCACGGGAAAAAGGACTGCACATGACTTGCTATGCTTCCACCCTGTTTTGGGGGACACGTGTCTTGTGGGCCTTCAGTGGCCTGATGGATTCCTGCTGGTGAAAGGATTGAACCATGAACTCGCAACGTGCCACCCACAGTGTTTGTAAGGGATTTTCCGGGGACTGGATTCTGAAGGCAATGTATTTCAATGAACATCATGCAATCGGTCCAAATTGGCTTCTGACTGAAGCTACTAGGAACAAAGCGCATCGCTACTAGGAGCAAGGACGCTATTAGTAGCTCTTGGCATCGCTACTAGTAACAAGAAGCTACTAGGAACAAGGTGTAGATGAGTTCTTGTTTTTCAATTTCCCTGGGTTTTTCTCCTCAAGCACGCTCACAGAGTTGTGGACGTTGGTCAAAACCAAGCACCTTCTAGCGGTGCAAGGGACCAGATATCACCTTCCTTAGCTGTTCCCTTAAAACACTTTTATACCCCGCAAGCCGGCCCTTTGGTTGATGCGTTCTGAACGTTCCCACAAGCTACACCCGGTGTACCCAGGAGACCAAGGCCTGGAACTTGGTATTCTGACTGCGCCATTAAGAGAGCCATCACGCTGCATCCAGGTGCTGAGCATCTTCTTAGTGAACCTATTAGCCACTGGGCCTTGACATCCGGAGCGAAGTTTGTCACACTGAGGGTGAATTTTGGGTGGCTTTGGACCAGCTGTCAACAGATAGCCACAGATATCTACAGATAAAGGTGATAAAAGCCATCGTTTTAGGCTTGTTCCATTACCTTTGTGGTGGTTGATCGTGGCCTTTCAATTGAGCACTACGCTGTGGCAATGCTGCTGTCAACCCAGACTACGTGATTAGACAACTTTTTTGCACTTACTTATCTACTTACATACTTAGTTACTGACTGACTGACTGACTTACTTACTTATATACTATTACTGTTACTGTTACTGTTACTGTTACTACTACTATTACTAGTGCTAGTACTAGTACTATTACCATTACCATTACTTACTTAATTACTTACTTACTTACTATGTATATCTTACTTACTTACTTTTTCTATTCCTTTCGGGGCGGTCTGCCAACTGAAACCGGCATGTGGGTATGCCAACGGCATGTTTTCCACCAAATACTGGCCCAAGCAATGAGACCGGCGGCTCTGGTCCTGGTCATTCGTGAAAGCCAGAATGTTTGTGTAGATTTGTCCTCTTCCTCTTGTACCCTTTGACATGCTCTTGATGGTTTCATCATGTTTCAGCCCCTTTTTGTCCGGATTCATCATGTTTCATCACGTGCTTCCCTTTTCGTCCAGGCGGGCCGATCACCATCGACCCACCCGAGCCGCACGCGCGTAAGCTCGGCTCCAGGTCGCTCAGCTCAACCAGTCCTACCGCGACATCTTCGAGGATATGCAGGGCTTCGCTCGGCTGACTCCTGGCCCCAGCGAAAACAGTTGTGACCGTGGTCCGGTGGCGGAGGTGAAGGCAGAGCTACACGGTTCGTCTTGCGTGGTCATCCGAGTGTGTGGATGGCATGGCCCCCGTTCGCAGACCATTTGTCTCTACAAACAGGGGATGTTTCCACTTCCGCTCCAGGGAGAGTAATTATGTTGAATCAAGTCATGACCTGAAGGACGGTGCTTGGTCCGACCATTTTCATATTCATGCTACAGTCGTTGACTGAAACAAGAGTTAATTGATGTGATCGCTTGTGATCGATTTCGCTGTGATCGCTGAGTATGATGATCCAGGTTGTTGATGAGTTGCCTCCATGAAGTGCTTCAGTGAGCATGGCTCGCTGATATATATATATATATGAGAAATGTTCGCTGTGATTCGTTGCGTTCACGTTCGCGTTCAACTGCAACGGATGAGAAACGCTAGAAGCTCAGAAGGCTTCATTCATATCCTCCCGAATCTAAGGTTGATGTGCAGATCCGGGGGAAGGTCCTCTAGCTCAGCTGTATTGGAGAGCCTAACAGGTATACGGTAGTTTTACAATAGGATCACGCATGGTATAGTTAGCTACATTTGGGTGATAAATTTAGTGGGTACTAAAAGATACTAGGATGCAGGTAACATCAAGCAACTATACATTGATTTTTTTGGAATGGTAGGTTCCTCTTTTAACCTTCGATGCTTGGATGTCCTTTTGATCGATCCGCGATGGAATTTTTTGCGCTCAGGAATCGTGCGGGTGTCACCGCCGACATCATCGAGCAGGCGTGAGAAGCAGTGCTTTGTTGGGTCAGACGAGAAAATCCATCCCCATCTGCTCCAGGCACAAATATGTATATACATTCACCAACAGCCACCAAATGTAGACCATGGCTTTTACAATACCGGATCCCTTATGTCAATATGATATTACATGGGTGCCTTTGCGCCTTTGCACCACCCCATTGAATGCATTTCACGGAAGGTAGCCTTGGCAAGAAGGGCTGCCTTGAGTTCGCTTTGCGAAGCAAAGGGTTAACTTGAACAGCCTGTTCGGGACAAAACAGTGAAATATACAAATATATTAAAATAAACCAAATATATTTCTATAGGGCTCCCCTTCCATAGTGATATCTCATTGATTTGCGGGGAGTTCTTTTTTTTTGGTGTAGCGTTCGGCAGGCCAGACTCAGAATCTTCCATGCTACTCCGTGACATGCCGCATTATCGATTCCGTACCATTGAGTTCGTCCTCCCCAACCAAAAAGCAGAGCTCCGAACCTCTCGCCGCGAGCTGCGAACCTGTCGCCACCGTGGGCTGGGTTCCCCCGCACTGGGTGGCGCTCGCGGGCTTCGGGTCGGTACGTACCGATGAACCGATCGGTGGAGGGGAAGATGAGAGAGAAGCCTTCCAGACCTGGGGGAGGGGTCATCTGCACCCGAAAGCCCTTGGAGGGTTGGGATGGTTTAGGATGGTTGAGGAGGGGGGTCACTGAATCAGAGAGGCTTCTTCTTTGGAGAGTTTGGTGTGTGCTGACGTGCAGGGGGGCAGAACGGAATCGTTGAGAGATCCTCGTGTTCGGCCAGCCGAAAAGGATTCCAGCACGAAAGCAGTTGCCTTCGAACACGAAGCCTTCCGAACACAGCGGAAAAGACCTCGGAGTTAAGATGAAACATGTTGCCAGCAGTCCCGAAGAGGTGCTATCCATGGAGGTTAGGAGTACCCATCTACTCTCACTGGATGGGACTAAACATCACCCCGACATGAGACTGTTTTTATTTCTTTATCACTGCTTTTTTTGGTCTTCAACAGGGAATGCAGATACCCCGTCAGGGACACTTGGCACTTCAAGCATCCCTTGAAATCGCACCAGAACTTTTTGATTGTGGTCCTGCTTTGGGGCGAGCACTTGTGCAGCATTTGCAAGACATCATAAAGATGGAGAAGTTGCAGTATAGATGTGATGTCTGTCGCTGATAACGAAACAAATCTTGGCCCGACATTCCCGTGACGTCTGCAATGAATGCATGTTACTTTTGATCACTGCCATTGGCAACGGCGTGTTGGCTCAGATGTGGGTATTGGATGGTATTGGTATAGAATGTATAGAGATCCCAGCCCCTTTACAAGCCTTCTTGGGCAGGGTAAAACCCGGAACTCAAATCCAGCTCTCTCAGACTCCCGCACCCCACCCGGACCTCGGATTTTCCCCGACCTGTGGGACCACCTATACCACCACTGTTCTGCCAATTTCGCCGTTCCGGCGATTGGGTCCGGCGATTTCCAGGTGAGCCGCAAGCGCTGGGTGAAATTCACCGGCCACCTGCGCTTCGACGATCCACTGGAGCGGGGGAAGAACCGGGTGGACGTTTTTGAGGCGGAGAAGGTAAAGGAGGTATACCCGGGAAAGTTAACATGGAACCTGAAAATGGACCTTTGGAAGGCTACTTTCCTCCAGAGTGTAGGGCTGGAATGGATTGATGTAATTGACTCTCTTTGGGTGGAGAAATGGGGGAGAGGAGGGGGGATGAAGGGGATCAGAATGGTCAAAATCTGAGGACAGAGGGGACAATTGATGTGCGCGGAGAGTTCTGAAAGGTGGGATTATGGGAATGCAACTTCAGTGATTTTTCCATGATTTTGAGGTTTGCTGATGCTGTCGTTGCCAACTGAACTGCCGGGCTGACTTCTTCGCAACAGATCGTAGGCTTTGAAGCTGCAGCAGCTTCAGTTAATAGGATGCAGCACACGCGACGCTCCCGCTCCCCGGGAAGGCCCATCAGGGGCCGCCCACGGCCTTTGTATACCCCCTGGAAGGCCATCATCTCAGCATGAGAACGTGCCAGTAAAGAAAGCATGACCCGTGTCAGCATACCAGACATGACGTCAGCTCGAAACATGTCGGCCTGCCACCACGCCGGCATCGCGCGGGGCGCACGGCCAGGAGTTCAACGAAGGAGACGTTGGAGTCCCAGAGCCACGAAGGAGACGTGTTCTGCGGGTAGTATCCATGAGCTGTGGCCTGTCCTGTGGCCTGTTAGGCAGTTGTTGATCGGGCCCCCTTTTGGAAGATTCTTGGAATCATTTTCGATGCCGATCGTGTTGGGACTAATTATGACTAATTGCTAATCACTTTGGAAAGAAAACAGCCTGAGAACAGCCGTTTGGTTTATTCAATGGTGGTACAGGGACACCTTCAACGGAAAGATGGGCTCCCAAAGCCACTGACAGGCACTCCATGTATCCCATACCAATAACTGTGCCTTACAACCAATACGCCATCAAAATCTTTCTTCGACCACTTTCCCAAAATCCCATCCAACATCCCAACCTTCCCAGATCCAGACGGTGAACCCGTCTGCCCTCGCTTCAGGTGGGAGTGCCGGGTGGGATCCAAATCCTGGAGCCCGCGAACGCGAACATGGTCACCGAGGAGCCGGAACGAACGTTCGGCTCGTCGCGGGGGGACCGGTTCCTCCACACCCGGTTCCGTCGCGGTTTGAAGCGGTGGAACCCGTGGTGAACCGGGCACCGGGTCAACCGGAGGGTACTCGTTTGAGAACACCAAGACCAGGCGGGCTCGACCTGTCAGCGGTGCACACGACCAAGAAGACGGGCAGCCCTGGTTGGACCTCTTCCCAAGCCGAACTCAAATGGCAAATTTGAGAGACTGGAGTCATTGATGTCATGCGCCTTTTGACAGTCGATCCTCAAGTGAGTTTCGTGATACAAGCACCATGCACTTGTTTATTACAACACATGTTTCATGCTTGGGGTCCGCTGGACTCCATGTACCACATGTCAAACACTCACTAGAGCTACTGCCAATGGATAATTTTTGTTGTATCCCCCTACAGAACCTTGTTCATCCCCTGTCCTGATTACAAGGAGGCGCATGTCTGTGTTTTCCCTCATCTCTCGCAGCGTTCGGTTGCGCAACCGAAAGCGTCACATGGTCAACCCGGATCTCTGGAGAAAAAGCACCAAAGACACCTTCCTATACCTGGACCCTCCGACCTGTCGGGGTGTCCTGGCTGGACTACCCCACACTACTCGTACCTATAGGCTTCCAGACAGGGCACCCCGAAAACGGAGGGTCCTGGTATGTGTCATGATGTGTCTGGTGTGTCTCTGAGCCTACGTTCGAGCATCTCTGTGGCGTCATGTGCATCGCTGTGCTGTGGAGAAGGTGTCGAACCCCCAAAACGCCCCGCGAATGGATCGCTGGGAGCGGCGAGAAGACGGAGTCGTCGTTGAGCTGTCGGAGTCGTGGAGCTGTAGGAGTCACTGGGATCGGATCCAAGTAGTTGGAACCGTGGGATTCGGATATTCATATTGTCCTAAAGCTCCAGCCGTACCTTCTCAGAAGGTGGGACTGGGGTGGGTTCGGTCCAGATATCTTCTGAGGAGGTACTTGGAGTTGTAGGGAATGTCAAATGGATCATCTAATGGGTGTCCAATGGACTACCCTACATGACTTAGAGGTGTCCATTGGACACCCATTCGATGGTCCAGGTAGACTCTTGATTCATAACCCTCCCCATAGCAAAGGGGGTCTTTCAATCCAATTGGGGTGTGTGGGTTTACAAATCAAGGGAGTCTACATTAAGAGTCTTGCATCACCGGAAGTTCTTCACTGAAAAACGCACCAAGCCTGGCTCGCTGGTGCACCGAGAAACACACCTCCCGGCTCGCTGGTGCTCCATGGCCAGGACAGCATCAAGCGCTATGGAGGTCCAACAGCTCCTAGTGCTCCATGGCCTCAGGCCCGCACGGAGACGCGGCGGGGCACGATTGCTTGGGCACCTGCATGGGGTGGCCAGGATCGGGCCAAAAGGCGTGGCTGAACATCGTTGTTCCATGGTTTATTTGTCACATCTCCTTCTCTCAACGTTCGATCTAATTGGGACATCTTTGGGACCACTTGGGACGTGTGAACTCTACTTGAATGTGAGGCACTTCCAAGGCTCTTCCACCATGGTTTTTCACAGTAATTCGTGCTGGGCACTGAACAAAGGCCCACATCACTGGGAGTGTACCATACTCAGTAGATCATGCCCTGAGAAGAGGAGTTGTCTTCCAGACAAGGGACGTCCGTATGTTGCATGAAGTTCCTTCATCGAAGATCGAAGGCCCAGTGGTTGTGGACCAAGTGTGGTGCGGTTTGTGTTTGTGGACCCTCCCGCTTGAACTACGCGTGAGCAAGCTGAAGGACTCCCAGGGCCCAGCTGTGGTGTGTTTTGTCGCCCCAAATGGCTGGTGAGGACCAGGATGAGGCCTTGGAGGACGATCCGTCGAGAGCAGCGCAGCGAGGGGCCGCATCCGAGCTTGATGTCGAGCAGCAGCTGCCGAATTTTGGGAATGATCGGACACCGCAGGGCAACCAACATACCTGCAATTTGGGTGAGTCTTGAATGATCGGAAACTGCGGGAAGGTCATGGCGTGTCTATAACCACCCTCATCATCCCTCATCCATCCTCATCCGTGGTGTTCCGTGTTTGGTAGCAAGGACGCTCTTCGGCGCATGGCCATCGCTATTAGGTTGGAGGCCATCGGATCTATATATATATATAGTATAACAATGAAGAAGCTATACTAGTAGGCATCCTCATCCGTCTTCGGTGTTTGGTGGTGCGGTGCTCCGCGGTCCCTTCGCTGAGACCGGGGTCCGGCGAGACCGCTTGTGGGAAGCGATGCGAACCGAGCACCGGGGAGGATGATCGATTCGTACGCTTGGAGAAGCTCATCATGAAGGCCACCCGGAAGCCCAAGGCACGGCGGAGGGGATGGGGAAATTGCTGAGAGCGGACAACTGGCTATGGGCCTAGCGGGACCTAAGGGTGGCAAATTGGAAGACCACTGCAGGAGTTGCACTTGATTGTGTTGATGATTGTTGACGTTCCTTTTTTACATGCGGCCGTGTTGTTTCCCCCTTGTGGCAAGGTGGTGGGGATGGGAAAGAAGGACGACTCCTTTATGATCTTTCATGGTGATTCTGGGGCATGCCAGTGATACCTGGTCATGCCAGATTTTGATATAGACTCTCCCGCGTTCAGGTCAGACTTCATTTCAGCTTCCCATCCGACCGCATGGATAGATTTCAGAAGTATGGACGATGGTGTGCCACAATATTCCACATCAAAGGACCTTGTGTGTGTGTGTGTGTCAAGTTTCAATGAGTTTCCAGCACTAGCATGCGCGCATGTAGCGTCAAGTAAGCCAACTACCTTTGTATACGCATAATATGTATGTTTGAGTTCACACATCAAAAATAGATACTAATAATGTAGTAGTTACGTGCAACCGCATATTTGCATTATATGTATATAAACTAGTTACAAACGTTTTTTCAAAAAAGCATTCTCAGCACCAGTACGTAGGCCTTTCTTTGAGTGTGATACATGGAACCGCCAACGTCTCCTTCGCGGCTTTTCCGGCCTGTCTGGTTCCCAACAGGGCGGGCCGCCCCCCGTCCAACCGTCTCGCAGCCGGACTCCAGCGCACCGCGCAGCCGAGCTCCGCCGCCAGTCCGGGGGCAAGAGCCACAAGACTCCCTCAGCGATGGATGCTTCAGACCTGGGCGAGTCCGAGGAAGGCGACGCTGCGGATCGTCAGGGGACGGCCGTCGTCGCGGAGGAGGACGGAGGACCGTTGGGTCGACAGATGTTCAAGACAGTGTGGCGATTCGGACCGAACTGGTGTCATTCGGAACATGTAGGAACCTCTTTTTAATGTACCCCAGCCCATCTGTGTTTCCCTGGAGTCGTACGTGTTCACACATTTTTGGCGCACGAAACTCCGAAAAGATGCAGAAACCGATGAGCTATGATGAGCTGCGAGCTCCTCCCGACCTCGGAAGTTCAGAGACAAAGTGTTCGAAGTAAAGGGAGTTCCCATTCATGTCGGCTCTTGATTCATAACCCTCCCTTTTGGATGGTAGAAGCTGATCATACCTCAGCATTTGTATGGGGGGGTTGTGGCATTTTAGTGTCAGTGTGTCTAGTCATGGGCATCCCATGCTCCTTCTGCTCTAGGATTGATGCCTACCTTCATCATCCTTGAGCCCTCACGCCAAGGTATGTTCTAATGATTCTAATGACATGGCAGTCCCATAGGTGTCAGAGATGATAAATCCCACACCATCCCTGCATGGAATAGTCACATAATATTACATACATTGACCCCACCAAAATGACCCATTATGAGCCCTAAGTACACAATAGTAACTCTTCCAGTCCCATTTTCATGGTTTCGGGAATGCCTCATGGGCAGTGCCATTGCACGCGCCAGGTTCCTTGCGACGGGGGACCTCTCAGTGAGCGGGATAAAATCTCCCTTTCAGGGCTCCGAGCTGGCCGAGCGGATATGTGCTGAGCCGGATAAACCTGGTGGTGTCTTTTTTGGGGTGTCACGAGAGGTATGTGAAGATGTATGAGATGATACTTGGTTTGTATTCGTTGTTCGATGTTTTTCGGGCCTTCTCGTCTCACTTGAAATAGGTGATTGCATGTGATTCGAGCTACGGGCATGTCAGCTCGGCCCATCTCGGCCCTCGGCGCTCTTGTGAGAGGGTGCCTCAATTGGCTTTGACGGCCTTGGTTTGCACGTGCTTTGCAGCCTGCTATAGCTGGCGCCTCTTCGTCAGGTGACACGTAGCAGCGGCCTTCAGATGGGGAGGCGACACTTCATCGAAAGGATGGGATGGCTCCCTGAGAAATCTTGGAATCAGAGAGCTTTTGTGCCTGAGTGATATGAGAATCATCATCTCGAACATGCGACAAAGCCGTACAATTACAATACCGGGTTTTGCTCGTTCCGCCTTGCTTTCCGTGCGCCACGAAGGCACGAGAGCCACTTTTAAGCACAGGACAGTCGTGTTCGTTGGCCTTTTTTGGGCTCTGAAGGAGCCGACACCAGAGATGCCAACGGTCCAAGAGTTGATTGCCACCCATTTGCTGTGCGAAAGGCTTTGTGAAAGAGCAGATGGCGGTCACCATTTGGGGATTGCAAACATGAGCAGTTGGAGAAGAAGAACACCATTTGGATCAACGCATTTGACCATCCGCCCCACAAAAGTGGCCATGTGGGGGCAGGAGTTGGCAAACTAGCTCGCATCATGCGCCTAAGCGGGGCGCCGTACATTCACGGGGGGTGTCCTCTTCACAGATAGATCGGATCTGGGATTGCTCAGAATTGCAAGCTCAATGCATGCTTCATGGTCCCCTGAACTGATGAACTATGAACTCCAATCGCTCCAATGAACTCCATATTTATGTTTTTGGCGGCAGGGCGTGAAGCAGAATCTTCACCCCGGCAACCACTCCTAAGGTGTTCATGATCTGGTCAATTCAGCCTGAATTGCTGAAGGACCCATTCCCAAGGCCATTGGCATTTGAGTGTTCAAAACCCTTTCCATTTGACTCTTGGTGATGTGCAAGTTTCACTCGAAAGCTTTGCCAGTGAGAGTGTGGCACAGAAAAGGAGTGCACAGCCTGCAGGCCAATTGGGTTCGATTTGGCCCCTGCTGGCCAATGTTGATGAGTCCTCAATCATAGAGATCGACTAAAGCTAAGAAACGTGATGCACCATAGCGTTGAAACACAAACCAACAGCCAAATCATCACTGTAGGTCTGTAGGTCATTGGGAGCCACAAGAGAGGAACCTGAAAAAATAAGTTCCCCTAAAAATCTAGGAACCAAATCATTAGTGCGAGCGCTTCTTCAAGGAGGGGGAGTTTCCTTGAAGAAGCGCGAGCTATCCTGCGTCCAGTTGGTAGTAGCTGCAAGTAAGGCTTACTTGCAACCTCATTTCCTTAATTAAGTAGGTGCCTACTTAATTAGGGAGGGGGATGGAGTTTCCTGGAGAGAATCCCTAGCGGACGTCTCTTTCGGTTTCTGGCCTGACCGCACCCAGTCTGACAGTGAACAGCCTCGGTCACCGGGCTTGGCAACCTGGTGTCGACCATGTTCCGAAGACCGTTTCTGTGGTTTCCGTGGGTTTTCAGGTTCCAGGTGCGTCTCTTCCCAGGGCGTACTGATCAAAAGGTACTTGGGACATCTGAGGACTTCATCCAACTCAGGGCAGGGGTTTCGTACCACCCGCGTGGCGTTTGCGGGTGGTCCGGATGTGAGACGCTTGCGTCAGTCGCCCGCGGTGGCAGGTGACTTCTACACCTATGAGGGCAGTTCCACCTCTCCAGATTGCCATGAGCTGAACAAGTGGTCCGGAGTGCTCAGTGTTCCGCGCCGACTAATCGTCAGATGCTCCAGAGACTGATTAGTACAGAAAACTGAGAAACCACCGGTCTCAGACCGTGTGTGGTTACAAAAATCTACATGTCCCGCGCTGTGTGTATATGTAATATGTCTTAATAGTATAAGTATGTGTATGTTTAAACGTTATATGTGGTTTATCACCAAGGTCAACAATGAGGTAAATCTAAGTATATAACTCTTCGATCACTTTATGGGATGCTTTGGGATGGTCAACTGAGTCGCGACTCCCGGTGGTAGGCGGTGGGGTTACCGATGGTGGTTGGAGCTGGTCTGTTCATCTTGGGACGGGAGAAACTGGACTCTGCAGCATCTAGTCGGAGTTTCACCTGGCCCTGGCCCGGACATTCTTGAAGGATTCATTCCGGACAAGTGCTTGTGTATGAAGTTGACGATCCGATCCCAGTCTCGCAACTTCGCTTCCACCCTTGGCTCAGGTTTATCTTTGAACATGCCGCTGCCTCAGCCCACACAAGAGATGGGGCTGGGTGATGGGTGGCTACTCATCCTGCAAGTGCACAACTATGCGCACATGACATGACAAAATCAAAAGGCCTTATTGGAACACATGTACCCCTTGCATCCCCTTGCATTATTTCCACTGCATAAGAACTGGTGCTGGCAGTCCAAGCGAGGACAAAAAAAAGAGAGCGGGTGTTGGTAGTGATGTAAAATTTGACATGAGATGCTGAAAAAACACTCTGGTTTAATTACAGTGTTTTGTGCATGTAACAGTCTCAAGCACACAGTCAATCACACACTTTTGTTGGAAATCAATTGGCATGGAAAGGACATTAAACATAATGAGTTTACACACAGAGTTCGACAGAAATAATGACAAACGACAAGCACAAAACATTATTGCGGGGAATATTAATAACAAAACATACCCGAGCAAATCAAGTGCAGACAACTTTTGAAGGGGGTCATGTTCTTTAGACATAGACAAGGTGGCAAACAGTAATCCAAGGGGTGGCCCTTTAGCCCAAAAGGGCCAACACGCTTGGTCGGGGGTTTAACATGTTCAAGGTAGACGTGTGCTGGGCTACTCCCTCAACCCCGTCACCGTCCGGACACCCGTCACCGTCCGGCCCGGTTTCGCGCTCCTGGCTCGAGCCGTTCCTCGGTCGCTCCGCGCCGTCAGCTCCCCATCCGCGCCATGGGCGCGCCTCGGGCGAGTCAGGAGCACAAGGAGTTGAAGTGAAGGGGAGAAGGCCCAGAGCTCCTTGAAACCACGAAAAGACTGATCCAAAGACTAGGTCGTTTGGATTTATAAGACCTTGAAACCACCCAAATGTGGGCAACCAGGTTGATCATGGTCTTCAGTTATGTTTCCCTGGGGCATGTGGGTGCTCCAGCTGAGGCCTCGGCGGCCTCGGACCTCGGGAGTATAGATCATGTTGACCCCGGTGGACTAAGTGGAGCAGTCACGCGTTCTGGGCAAGTAGTTCCATATTCAGGTGTAATTGGATGTGGACATGGGAATTTCTGCACATTCACTTAGTGGAGCAGCCACCCTGGCCTGGTGGTTTTTTGGCATTCCCCACTCTAATCAGAACGCAAGACCTCCCCCCTGAAAAATGATTCGGGTGAGGTTGGCCCACAGAAGCTGATCCTGCTATTGCTGCCTGCCTTCTCCTGTGGGACACCGCGTACGGCCACACCTCCACGTGCCATTGGGCACCGAGTATGGCAACAGGCGCCGGCGCTCCAGGATGCAGAGAAAAGGCCCAGCACAGAGAACTGCACCTGGCGCAATTTCACTCAGAGCCTCGGAGGATGGTACCCTAGTGCTCCAGTCGTACCGAACCTGAGGAGATGTGGGACTGGGGTGGGTCTAGAGGGTCCAGTCATACCTGGGGAGGCACGACTGGAGCTCTAGGCAAAATGATTTTACAGTGGTTTCAGAGGTTCGATGGCACAGACGCCATGATGTCCTAGATGGATGGGGGTCCATAGAAACCACCGAAAGTGGGGTTTGTGCCATCTACTCTCAATCCACTTACACCCTCCCACGCAACACATCATATGGACGTGAAAGACACTGTTCGTAGAGCCAAATGGCCAAATGGTCTGACTCCGAGGCCTAATTATGCCAAACTGTTAGTGGGTCAGAGTGTACAGCGTTGAACATGGACGGCCCTTTTAGGGGAAGCGGAAGGAGGGCTTAGAAGAACCAAGAACAGGACGGCATCTACAGGAAAGACACTTCCGAGCAATCGCTTGGTGGGGATGTCCGCGTGAGTGAGACTCATTGGAGTGTGTGAGCATTTCTTTTGATCCCAAACGTCCAAAAGGTCCTCTATACAGCTTCCATTAGTAAGGACGCTACTAGGGGCTCCTGGCCTTTCTACTAGGAGCAAGGACGCCACTAGGGACTCCTGGCATGCCTACTAGGAGCAAGGAAGCTATATACTAGGGCCTAGGCGCTCCTGGCCTTACTACTATAGTTTTTTCACGCATTCCCCTGCTGTGGGCAGTTTTTTTTTTTTGCCAGCGGGCCTTTTAAAACGTCGTTGCTTTGCTGAGGCGCATTGACCACTTCGGTGCGACGGAAGGCACCTTCCCCCAGAGGCTTTGCATCTACGACCACTGGTGGCGAAGAGCTGCCAGTGGCGAAGAGCTGCCCAGACACAAGACCTCTCCAGGCACATACCGCTGCGCAAAGAACCCGCGCGAACGATCCGAATCCCTGGAATATCCTGGAATAGTGGGTAATTTATAGTATTTTATAGTGTTTTTTTGTTTCAAGGGGGGTTGTTTTCGCAAAGAGGTGCTCTTTACGGCTTTTGTCATGGTGTCATGGACGCAGAAGTGTCAGAGCTCCTGTTAGTATTTGTTGGTTGACTTGTGCAACGTTGTGCAACGAGCTGGTTAGACAACTTGTTTCTTGAGACTTAAACGAAGGCGTTCTAAAGAGTCAACACAAATTGCATGTCAGCACTGGGCCTTAGGATGTGAGTTGGATGACAATAAGCCCTAATGACTCATGGACACAAGATAGATAGACAATCAGTTGTTCATTGTGTTTGGGCGAACCTCGGTGCTAAGTATGTGATTGCAGCGTTGCAGCTGCGAATTCCAGCTGAGAACTTCCGCAAGTTGAACTGAAGCGGGCTACCACGTATCGACCGCCCTGATGCAGATACATTGTTGGAGATTAACACTAATAATATCCCCTTGACATCATTAGACCAAGAAGAAGAAGAACCGCAACGCAACAACGAGAATAACAAGAACAAGAACCACCACCACAACAACAACAATAACAACGACACCAACAGCATCACCACCACCAACAACAGCAACAACAACAACAAGAACAACAACAGCAACAACAACAGAATCAGCAACAGCAACAACAATGACAACAGCAGCAACAACCAGAACAACAACAGCAGCAACAGCAATAATGACAACGACGGCAACAGCGGCAACAAAAGCACCAATAACGAGAACAATAACAGCAACAACAACGACAAGGGCAACAACAACTGCATCAGTAACACTAGCAGCAACAACAACAACAAGAACAAGAACTGCAACAGCACCACCACCACCAACAACAACAAGGACAACGGCCACAACAACAACTTTAGCAACAACAACCCCAACAACAAGACAACAGCAGCAGCATCAGCAGCAACAACAACAGTTACAACGATGACAACAGCAACAGCAACAGCAACAACAACAGCAGCAGCAACAACAGCAAGAACAACAGCAGCAACAGCAACAGCAACAACAACAGCAGTAACAGCAACAGGAACAACAACACCAGCAGCAACAGCAACAGCAACAACAACAGCAGCAGCAACAGCAACAAAAACAGCAGCAGCAACAGCAATAACAACACCAGCAGCAAGAGCAACAGCAAGAGCAACTCATAGAACAGTTAATGTGGATGATGCTTTTTGTGGCGGGTTGAAAGGGTCAAAACAACATAGAAACCCAGAAAAATGCAGGAAAACCACCAAAGGTAAAACAGCAGAGTTTCAATGGCCTCAAAGGTACCCCGCTTCCAGGTCAGGGCTCAGACACTGCAGGCAGACACGTCAGCAATTGAAGAAGAAAGGTCCTCAGAAGAACTCGTAGCAACTGCCAATATAGTAGCCAATACATACCAACCAGCCCTGACAACATAGAAGCCCAGGTAAAACGGCCGAGTTTCAGTGGCCTCAACAGGTCAGGGCTCAGTCACTGCAGGCTGACACGTCAGCAATTGAAGAAAGTAACCCTCAGAAGAACTTGCAGCAACTGCAAGCAGGAATCTTTTTTCAAGACCATACCAACCACCCGTGCCATGGGTGGATCTTCGAGCGATGTGGCATGGGCGGATCTTTGAACGATGATTTGAAAGGCCGCGTCTTCAAGGCACGGCCTGTCCGATTTCCCAACGTCGTTTTTTGTTTGATCTTCGGATTCCACACGTTTCTCCGAATGCTTTCCGCATGTTTCTGAAGCTAGAACCTCAGAATCTCTGAAGCTACAACCTCAAAAGGTTTGCAAAAGTCTATTGAAAAAGGGTAGGGTCATACCACACCCAACCATCCAGACTCGGGCCCTGCGGCCTTTCTGTTGTACCAAAGAAGCGGAGGGAGCTCATCCTCATCCATCACCTTGGGATTCGTCCACTCGTAGACCTCCGCACTGATCGTCCGGTCCACCCAGCAGCGGCATGCCTTGACAGTCACCTCCTTCTCGTAGCGAACGTAGGGATGCGTGTTGATCATGGCTTTGTGCCAGCAGGTTGCGCTCCCGCGCGCTCGGCTCGGCCGCAAGGCGGCGGCTCGAGTCGCGGCAGTGCGCCGTGGGCGGCGTTGCTGCTGCCTTCAGCAGTAGCAGTGGCAGCGCGCTGTTCCTTCGCTACGCGAAGGTGGTGAGTGTCAAGGCATGCAGGCTCTGGGTGGACCGGGCGATTAGTGCGGAGATCTACGAATGGACGAATCCGAGCGTGATGAATGAGGACGAGCTCCCTCCGCTGCGATGGTACAACAGAGAGGCCACAGGGGCCAGGTCTTGGTGGTTGGGTGTGGTCTGAACCTACCCTTTTTCAATAGACTTGTGCAATCCTTTTGAGCCCACTATCGGTTGCAATAAGCTCGCCCCAAGATCGTGTGACATGCTTCAAGGAATCCCCTTCTAACTCCTAAGGCCGCGTTCAGAATCTTCAGAAGGTTCTCCTTACAAGCCCGCCCGCGCATAAACGGTTCTCAATCCGACCCAGGGACCACGGACAACTAGGAGCAAGGACGCTACTAGGGGCTCCTGGCCTCGCTACTAGATCTACTAGGAGCAAGGACGCTCCTGGCCTCGCTACTAGGAGCAAGGACGCTACTAGGGGCTCCTGGCATCGCTACTAGGAGCAAGGGGTGTCAGAATCCAGAACTTTGCATTCGGGTGTCCTTTCGTCCCGCGCCCCATTGAAAGCCTTTAATCAACTTCCACTGGAGGGGGAGGACCAGAAGGAAAAGAAGTCCAAGAAGGTTCGCAAGCATACGACCAAGCAGGCGTGGGGACCGTGCGCCATGGCAGACCCTTAGGTTTGGGAAAACAGCTTCTCAAAGTCTTGCCTTTTGGGAGTTTCCACGCATTGAAAGTTTTGAAACGGGCGCGCATCAAGCAAAGACGCCCCGGCATAAGAAGTGCAGGACCAGAAGGAAAAGAAGGTTCACAAGCTTGCGACCGAGCAGGCGTGGGAACCGCGCGGTGCCCGTGCGGCCCGCGCCCTTCCGTTTTCCAGGAACCTGTTAAGAAAGCAAAGAAAAACGCGCAAGAAAAAGACAACCATGAGGTGCTTTGCCGGGCAGTGGCTGTTGCTAAGCTTCGCGTTACCCCAAGAGGGATGACTTTGGTTATTTCTATCTTTGGTCAGCTAATGACCTTTATCTTCCATTTGCAAGGTCTGGGTGCTACTACGCCTGTTTTGTTCAATATTTTTTACACACAGGTCCTGTGTCTTTCACACAGTTGCCAGGATGCCCAATCTGCATCAAGTGGCTTCTGGTCCTTGGGAGAGGAGCCCAAGACAGTCAGGTTTGTGCTCAAGAAGGTTTACTTCGATGAAATAAAAGCGTGCGGTGGCACGTGAGTGTTCAGGCGACCGCCTGGCCCAAACTGCGCCACAACTGCGAAATCCGGAGCAGCTGCACAGTCAGCACCGGCGGACCTGCGAGAACCTTGGCTGCTTGGGTTTCAGCTCCGTTGGAGAAAATCTTCGGATTCAAGAAGAACACGGTTGTTCCTTATGCTTTCAACTATAGCAAGAAACCATTCCTTGGCCAGGTGTCAAGGATCACCCAGGCGTTCCTGGGCACCCCCACAGTCTGGGACAGAAGTTTTTTTTTCAGAACGCGGACCAAGGGCTTAAAAACTTTGCATTGCTCGCAATGAAGCCGCCACCTCGTTTACGTCGAATATTTTCCTAATGTTTGTAGAGAATTCGGTGAGCTTGCAAAAACCTCCAGAGCCAATTTTTGGAAAACAACATATGGTTTACAGAGACCGGCAGGCGAGCCAGTTTGTTGCACCAGCTTCTTCTGTGAGAAGACTTGGAAAGAAGCCCGCGCTGTGCTCCACCCTCTGGCCAGCGCTGTTTTGGCTTGCGGTTGCGCCTGCGCCGGGCACGATTTGGATTGAAGCCACGCAGGCCGCTTTTCTTGGGGAACAGGTGGAAGGTGTTGGAGCTTTTGGCAACTTTTGTTGGGCAGGAAGCCGGTTTTCGCTTTGAGCGAAAGCACCCGTATTCTAACACTGAGGGCGAGTGCGTTCCAGGCAGAAAGGTTTTTTTTGTTAATGATTTGGTTTGGTGTTAGTGTTTTTCTGTATTTTTGTTGTTCAGAAGTTGTTCAAGATCAAGCATCATTGTGCGCAAGCTATTCGCACCTAGACCACTATGGTCACGATCGTCATATTTTTCAAGAAGTGATCGATTCTGGTAGTAGCCACTCTTTCTCCAAGGGGTTTGACCACTCTTTTAAAAACCTATCAGATCTAGTCTATCGGGATTTGTTGTTGAGCCAACGTTGGAGGCGCGCCAGCTCGATGATGTCACAGATCGACCTTTGAGCCACAAGAGCTCGTGTGGAAAAATGGGTGGCAGCAAGAGGGTCAGGTTATGGACTTTGTTGTTGTGTTTTTGATGCTGTTTTAAGCGTTTTCCTGTGGTTTGGTGCAGTTTCCTGCATTTCATACAGCCACAATAATGGAAAGCCACATTAACTATCCTTTGGGCAACAGCAGGAATAGCAACAACAACACCAGCAGCAAGAGCAACAACGACAACAGCAGCAACAACAACACCAGCAGCAACAGCAACAGCAACAACAGCACCAGCAGCAACGGCAACAGCAACAACAACAGCAGCAAAGCAACAGCAACAACAACACTAGCAGCAACAACAACAGCAGCAACAGCAACAACAACAACAGCAGCAGCAACAACAACAACAGCAGGACCAGGAATAACCACACCAGCAGCAAGAGCAACAGCAACAGCCGGAACAGCAACAACAACACCAGCAGCAAGAGCAACATCAACAGCAACAACAGGAGCAGCAACAACACCAGCAGCAGCAACAGCAGCAACAGCAACAGCAACAGCAACAACAAAAACAACAGCAGCAACAGCAACAGCAGCAACAGCAACAAAAACAGCAGCAGCAACAGCAATAACAACACCAGCAGCAAGAGCAACAGCAACAGCAACTGCAGGAATAGCAACAACAACACCAGCAGCAAGAGCAACAACGACAGCAGCAGCAACAACAACACCAGCAGCAACAGCAACAACGACAGCAACAGCAACAACAACAGCAGCATACAGCAGCAACAGCAACAGCAACAACAACACCAGCAGCAAGAGCAACAGCAACAGCAACAACAACACCAGCAGCAACAGCAACAGCAACAACAACAGCAGGAGCAACAGCAACAACAACAACAGCAGCAACAGCAACTTTCTTTTTCTTCTTCTCACGCACTCAGGAGAGAGTAGCGCCGCCCTTCGGTCAATGCCTTGTTGACCGGACTCCTTGATCATATGATCGGAGATCTTTTGAATATCACAAGCAAATAAGTGTCACCTAGTCGCAGGGTAACGGTGGGAGCTGCCTATCATTGCAGGCTTCCTCAAGCAAGCTAGTGACCAGCACCGGAAAATGAACAGTCCGGAGAAGCTATCACATCAAAATCAGCTAAAGGAAAATGGATGTCTCTCCCTCTCAGGATCAGCGGCCACATCAGCCGCCAGCTGCAGGCCATCAGCCTCAGGCGCAGAGGCGCAGGCTGCAGGCTCACTCATCCGCTAAGGCGCAGGTCCCGCTGCCAAGGCGCGGGTGATGGAAGCATCAGCATCTTGCAGGCGCTGAAGTAATTCTCCCAAGGCACTGTCCTCTTCTATCGAGTGGCTAGGAGCAACTTCCTGAAATGCCTGAGCTCTAGTCCAAGTGGCAGGATCAATCCGGGAGCAGTTCTCCAAGGCACGGCCATGAGAGTCATCTCTCAAAGGCAGCCCAACCTTTGGACCCGGTGCATCCAGGTCTAAGCTTGGTCGCTCAGCGGTCAGCCCTTCAAGAAAAGGCCGAGGTTCCCAAGGCACTTTAACCCCATCTGAGGTCGTGGTGGCCGGATCCATGGTGAGCATGGGGCAGGTTGTTCCCAGCGTCTCAGGACCTAGGTTCACAGGTGCAGCTGAGGAAGGCAAACCATGCATACCATCAGCATCCGAGTCTTCCAAATCCAGGTCCTGACATGGCAGGGTCCAGAACAGGACACCTCGTGTATGAAAGTACTCTGGGATGACCATGATTTCCTGAGGTCGTTCATTGTCATCACATAGCCACTTCTTTCCAGTAATGGGATCTAGCAAAAGAGCGCGAAAGTGCCCCTGAAGCGAATTCCCCAAATGAGCCACCACTGCCACAACACGATGAGAGACCCAGCTGCGGGCCAGACCATCGCGAAGGAAGATCGGCAGCGGAAAGGGCTCCATGAACTCCACGTGATGAAAATGACCTAACAGCCGAGTCGAGTCAATCAAACGATCCAAAAAGAAGACTTTCAAGCAACAACAGCAGGAGCAACAGCAACAACAACACCAGCAGCAACAGCAACAACGACAGCAACAGCAACAACAACAGCAGCATACAGCAGCA